GTTTTAAGCCATGCAGAACTTTTTTTCATAAAACCAATAATAAAAAAGTATCCCATATGGTGCCCACTTAATTGGACACACTGTATAAAATGGCTCTTGATAAGTGAACTATCACTAAATTTTCGATACACTTCAGAAACAGTTTGACATTGGCTTAGTGGTTGACTGAAGACAATATGCAGTATAGGTACTCTCAAATGATATAAAAGCTATAGAATTTTAAATTATACAGGCTGATTCAAAATCCAGTACAAAGAATTTAGGGGCGTGAATCCACAAATGCTTAGTTTTCGATACAGAGGGTGTTAAAGTTTTTTATTTTTTTCGATTTTTTAGGACTAATTTCCAAACAGATTTGAATGTTGGCATAAATCTTGGAGTACGTTTTTTTTAAGATGCTAAATTTAAATGTTATTGCTTTTGACGCTGCTTGCAGATGGCGCTAATAAGGTACGTTTGAATTAAATTGGCCCTAACTTTTTTTGCTATCCTATACATTGACGTTTCGTATTAGTGCGTTTATTGCCCTATCAGTTTTAAGCAGAACAGGAATACTTTATCGAAATCTCTCAGACCAACTGTTTCCGAGATATTGGCTAATGAAGAGTTAAATGCACATCATATTTTCAAATTTTATTAACTATTTCCGGTGAAAAATTTTAAAATTCATATTCACCATGTAATCAGGAATCTTGAATTTTAGCTCTTTACATTTTTTTGATACAACTATACGTTTTCGAGAAAATCACTGCTGACTAAACATAGTATAGTAGGCTCTGAATGCGTAGTTTTACAACTATTTTTAGAGGTTTTCCGTCACATTTTGTTGAAATCTAAGCCTCTTAGCAAAGATGCAGGCAGAAAACAGATTATTAAAAAAAAAACGAAATTTAAAAATATCCAAATTTATTGAACCTTGAAAATAATTTGATTGAAACAGCTTTGAAATTATTATAATAAATTCCCTCCGCAGTTGATTTTGATTACCCATCAACTTTACAACATGGCGGCTACTACTACTGCAATTGTCGCGGATTTTGCTCAGTGTGACTAAGTTGCAGTGGAGCTGACCTACCCTCATCTCCCCTCAGCATTTTGAGAGAGTCGTAATGGGTCCGGAAAGAGCGTACCTGTCTGGGTCCATTTTCACCTGTGGTTCTGGGAAGGTTAGCCCCATGCTCGCCAATGAGGGGGTTCCCAAGTATTTCGAACGTTTTCCCTTTAACGTTAGTTACGGCGCACAGTGGTCGGAATTCCGAAAAAGCTGGATAAAAGTCGAAATTTCAAAGTTGTCGGTTTGCGTTAATATTTCAGAATATTGTAGAGAAGGAGTCACTGGGTAGTTCTTTAAAGTAACGGAGAGCTGGCCCATGTGTATAGACCACATCAATTATCGGAAGTATGCTGTGAGACATTAGCATATTTCACTTGCCACTGATCCTTCGAAAAGCGGTGAATTGAAAATAAGTGCAAATTTTTACTAGAGTACGAATCGTTGTGTGCAATAGAGAGGGTGTTCCTGGAGATAAGTAGAATACATTGCTCACCTAGAACCTCACTTTTCGAAAGTTGCATGTTTTTATTGTTTTAACAAAAACGTCTTACAATTTCCATCGATTTCAAATCACATCAATCGTAAATTACCGAAATAGTTGTGATCCCAAGAGATCCTGCACTATTGAAAGTTGGAAAATGCGGACAAGAGTGTCAATTTCATATATCAAAAGAGAAAACCACCGGATTTTTCCGGATCCGGGTTCTGAGTCATTTTTTGTGCCTCCGTGAACGGCCGCGGCCGGTTTACTATTGTAAGAGGCCTTAATTATACAATAGCTAGCGTTTTAGTGTCTTTTCGCGTTCCAAACGAGCGTTTCTAATTCAATTTGTTCTTTTTTTATGAACATGCACCTACTTCATTTGCTATTTATCATATTTTTACAAGCTTTTATTTAACTTGCATTGTTAGTATGGATCAAATCTTGCAACTGAATTTTAAAACAGTTTCCCCAACCGATTGAGCTGAAATTTTGCATACACGTTTAGTTTGAATGACAATGCATGGTTAGCTAAGTGACGTCATTCTAAATCCAATATGGCGGACTCTCAAAGATGGCGGACCAGTTATTTTTTATGCACCCCCATGATATGGGTATCAAATGAAAGGGTTTAAGTACTGAGAAGAATATGAAAATAAAATATGAAGTTACTATAAAAGCTTGCTTTAAAAAAAAATTATAGATGAACTTATTATCTATGATCTTTCAAATCATAATTTATCATTTGCGACAAAATCAGGCACCAGTAAAATTACGTGAACGGAAAAATAAATTTTTCGATTTTTGAAAGGAAAATTCCAAGAGAATTTAGAAACGCAAATCATCATTTTAGATCAACATTTTTTAAAAAGGTGCAAGATAGATGAAAATGAGAAAAGCTTTTCAACCGATGAATGTTTTCATGCTCTGACGGTTATGTGACAGATGATGACGGTGCGAATGACTCATGTGTATTAGAATTAGATAAATAATTAGAATAAGCTTTATAACAAGAATAAGCTTCAATAGTATTTAGAAATTGTTTCGCTCGAAATGAGGAATTCATCCCAAATACATGCCTTATATCGCAGTTATTTATCTTTCGTATTTTATTAATAATAATTAATTACCTCGAAAACCTCAAACTCCGACCTTACATACGTTTTACGCGACCTCAATACCAGAGGCACTCGAAATTTCAATTTTCAATAAATTAACGTGATATATCGGCCATTTTGTATCAGCCACCTTGAATTTGAGATTTTTGACTGCAAATTCGGTTTTAGCGACCTGAAAAACATATAGTCCCAACTTTTGGGTGATGATGCAAGCCTTTTTGGACTTTTGTCCAGCTTTTTCGGATTTCCGACCACTGTGCGGCGGTTGTCATCACAAAAAGACATTTTCAGTCTTCCTTCATTGTGAGTTCTAATTTTGCTTCCGTTTGATGTTCCACGCTCTAATTTGTTTTTTGTTTGACCCAAGACGTACTTTGGACACTGGCATATGATTTTATTAAAAGTTTGTATCACTGGCTAAAAACATCATAGTGTACAGCAGAGTACCGATATGTTAAGCTTTAGAAACTTTGTAAGTATTACAGCGTAAGAGCTGTTCGGCAGCGTGAAAGTTGTATACAGGGTCGGAAAGTCCCCATGGTTCATCGGCGGTTACGTGAAAGCGATAAAGTCATAGAAATCCGTGCGATAGAGAAAGATGGCTATAATGAAGGCGACTAATAGTCACCATAAGAAGTGGATCTTATTTGTGGAAGGGCGAAATGGGCGGTGACTATTAGACGCCTTCATTATAGCCATCTTTCTCTATCGCACGGATTTCTATGACTTTCTTTATCGCTCTCACGTAACGGCCGATGAACCATGGGGACTTTCCCACCCTGTATATGAGTGTAGCGCTCGGTTTGGTAATTTTTAGGAGAATTATAACTTGAAATACGGTTTAAAAATTCATGAGCTTTATTGATTTTCTTAAACAGTACTTAATACAGTGTATGTAATACGGTGGTTGCAACAGAAATTCTTGAGTTTTAGTCGAATATACACTCTGGCCAAGTTACTGCTGTGCTTTGGTTAATAAACTGTGGAAAACCTGGGTTCGTGTTCGCACACTGGCTGGGTGAATTCTGCTAGGCGGTTTAGTTCCAGAATTTTTTAAACCGGATAAACTGCGTACTCTGCGAATACAACTGTCTCTGAGGTGTGAATTTGAAGTCTCTATAGGATGTTGTTATTTTCAGCATGTTTTAGAAAGTGGGGCGAAAAAGTTTGACGGTCCATGCACTCATTGTCAATTTTTCTAGACGTCTATGGATTCCGTAGAATTTATGAGTTAAATGTTTTTATGCGGTTCCAATTGAGATTGTAACAACTATATCTATTTCACGAATTTGGTTGTTCTTAAATACTTCCAAATCCTTGTAAAAAATTAATTTGAAGTTGTTGATTTTTATAGTATCTATGTAAATAGTACACAAGGTTCAGATTCGGCCCGTACAATTTCAACTGACAATTTGTTGCGGGTTGCCTAAATATGTGACATCACATTAAGAGACGCCCATCACAATAAATACAAACTGCTAGTGCAATGGTGAAATCATGGTAATACAAACTTCAAACAATTCTTCATGTTTAGAATTAGATTATTTGAGATATTTCGGATAAATAACAAACGTCTCCGACAATATGACCCTGTTTTTCAAAGATTAAAACATGAATTTTGCTTCTGGCAATAACAAACACATTAGTATAAAAATGTTACAAAACTGACAGGAATAAAACATTTCAAAATGTAAAACTGGTGTTCCTTATTGTTTACGGAGTAGGTAGCAAATGTCCTCTCTCACATTACTTATCCGAGGCAAGTTCGGTATTATTAACATCTAGACACTCCAGATGTGTTTTGTTCTTTTCTAATTGTAAGAGAAACTTGCCTCTGGATTATCAGAAGTGTTAGGCAGTACAGTACAAATGAATTGTGTCGAGTAGGTACTGTGAAAGAAGATTTTCATTATTTGATTTTCTTACATGTGCGCAGGTAATAAAAATAAAAGACTCATTTACATTCATTCAATATTTATTGTCTTCAGTTATTGAAAATGCACTTTTAACATATTGTTAATTACAAACAATGCAGTCAGAAGGCATTTATTACATTAACAAGAATTACATAAAAATATATAAAAAATGCCATCTGAGAAGAACATCTCTGTATCCAGAATATCATTTTACATTTTAGGCTTTACACTTTTTAGAATCTATACTGAAAAGAAATGTTAATCTAGAGAGAATAAGGAAACAATAAAGCAGTTATAAAACATTTTAATAGCCTATACTTATATATTTTATTGTTAATCACCATTGCTGATACGTTTTAGTTTCGTTTTATGAAATCACATTGTACGTCTTCTCGTAAAAAAATTAAGTACTAATAAGACATATTTAAACAATAAAATATATTTTCTAATATATTAATAGCACCATAAAAAATTATCTATTGGGGAATATTAATTTAATAAAATTACAAAGTTGGACTGTAAATTCTGCGTTTAATTATAACAATCAATTTCTGCTAAATCTATTTCTAAAATGGCACAAATTTGTTTAATATACATTTAAGAAAATATATAAAAAGACATATAAAAAAGTAAACGACCCGAAAAATGGCAGTTTAAAAATAATACAAGCTGTATTTCAAGCAAATTAAAGCTTATAACAATAACATAGAAAGCACAAAAGACTGAAATACAGCTAATGTAGAGTAGAAAATTAAAAAATGTCAAAATTAACTCAACATTAAGCAGAATGGTCTTTTCAAGGTAATGAACACAAACGTAGTGAACACTAAATTGGACAAATAAAAATAAGTTTACAATAATTATACCTATAACTTAGGATTGATTTATTTGAGATTTAACTTTAATTAATCCTCATCAGTTTATCAAACCGTCATCCCCCCAAATGTTGTTGAAACGGTCCAATGAGCTAAAAAAAGAAATAAAATGTTAAGCTAAATAAGAACAGAATTATTGTAATATTGTTAATATATTTAGGTCCCATTGCAGGCATGTTAACATGAATCTCTGTATTATAATTGACGTAGGTGACAATTGGTCAAAAGATGAAGTAATAGAGAATTACTTGAGAATCAACATACCTTCAAGCATAATCAAACTAGTCAGGCTCGCCACAACTCGCGATTAAAATTTAAAAAAAATGAAAAAATTAGGAAAAATTGAACTTTCGCTACAATCTATAGGATATAAAGGGTTCTAGTCAGTTTGCTTGGCAATATAATCATTTACAAAAATTACATTCAGGAATTATTTTAATAAAAGAATCATTTCCAGCTCGAAAAGAAGATACATATTTTTAATAAGTTTGGAGAAGTGAAATCAGAACATTTAGAAGCATGTACTTAGATGGCTCAGTGTCAGACATATAGACTCTGAATATCTTTCTTCAATTGAATTTGCAAAATTATTTTTTTAATTTTAGCTCATTATTTAGTTTGTTTTTCTGTTACAGTTTGATTAAAACTCATTTTTAAAAATGTTTTTCAAGTCAAAGACAAAGAACTGATATTTTGTTTATTTTTTTTGTTGTTTAGTCATGAAAATTTTGAAGAATTTCTATTATTTTAAATAAAGTATTACATTTTTTGTTAATTTGTGCATGCATTCGACTGATTTGAAATTTGAGAGCATTCCGATCCCAATTTAAGGATTTTGTTGAAATATTTTATTTTTATATTAATTTATTTCAACAAAATTTATCTGAAAGTCCGGTTTTGCTTCGAGGTTCTTTCATTTCCGTTTTTCAAATTTTTTGCTTCAGAAAATATTGATATGATGCGATTGATTTTTTAATGTAAAATCTCTAACCTCTTATCAACAATTTAGGTATTTATATTTTATCTTTATAATTTTCTGCAGTTTTAAATTTACTTGGTCCTTCAAATAAAAATGTGGCATGACATTTTAGATTTAGCGCATAATGCAATATGGGTTGTTTCTTGTTTCTAGGCATGTTTGCTGCTTTATCTTCTGACTAGCCAAATATTGGGTCGAATAATATTAGACAGATTTGATGCATATTACGTGAAGAATGTTAATGGGCATGAAATTCTTTACTACCTACCCATTTGAGTGATCTTCTATCTCTACTAATATAATAAATGAAGATACCAATGTTAGCCTGCCACCACAATGTTCAAAGTACAAATGAAAAGGTTGCAATAGGACATAAAATGATTAAGTATCTGATTTTTTATTTTTTAAATCTGTCAAAAGAAATTAGAAATGTTCACAATTCTCAATTAGTTTATCAACTCTCACTGTACTAAACTTGACAATAATGTTTTAAATGATCATATTCCTTTAAACATAAACAATATGAAATTACAGTAGAGAAATCCATACTGTTTTCTAATAGTTTTTCATATAATGGACTTTGGTTATAACAACATCCCAAAGGAAATGAAATTGCGTCATATTAAACAGATGATAAGCAAATTGAAAATTGATGAAGCAAACTGATTTGTGTATTGTGACACTTTTATAAACAAGGTAATTATTGACCGATATCTTCCAGGTTTTTTTGAAAGATGGAGCTTAAAAAATCTATTACATCACATATCATATGAATTTATTTTCAATTATCAAAAATTACTTTTATTTTTTTTTCAGTGTCAAATTTGATTGGTTAGCGAATTTTTTAATTTAAAATCTGACTACACCACTGGATTCTGTACCCTCCTAATGTAATTTCTACCAAATTTTGAGAAAAAATATGTACTGCTCATTGTAGTTAGTATTAAAGGTTTTATTAAGTGCTTTAGTTTTTTCTAAACAGGATAAACAATTTATAGAATCATAGTTTTCTTCTTGCGCAGTTCAAAATTAAACTAATTTTTAATTTTAACAGACCCTCAAGCTTCAAGCCTATATTACTAGAGGTAGCCTGTCAACGAATGGGCGCATATTACAAGGCGAAGAGAGAGATAGCTGCTATGAAAGGTACATGCTATCTCTCTATATGATGCGATAGTACCTTTTAAGTTCCACCTTAAAAAAAAAACGAATTATATCGGTCAAAAATATATTTTTTATGAACGCATTTCTATTTAAAATGGATCACAGTTTAAAAGAAATCAAACTTAGAGGTGGTATTACTTAGCAATATGTGATCGATCTATAAAAGGGAAGTTGTAACAATCAAATTCTAATGTATTTAAGTTTATTTATTTGATAAAACTTGAATATTATCCCTCATCTGTTTTTTTATTTTTTTTGAAAAAAAAGAAATAAATAAAATGACATCTTAAATAAATTATTTGAGTCTATATTGCAACTTGATTTACTAATTCCTACTTCAAAATGTTGAAATATCTTACCTGACATTACTTATAAATCCACTGATAAAATGCATTTATGAATAAAAAAGCATCAGTCTATATTATCTTATAAATGTAATAAAATATGTATAACATTAGCTCATTAATTCTTATTTACACATATAGAATACTGGTTATCACAAAAGAATGTAAATAATGGATAGATATACTCCACAACACACTTTAAAAATAATAATTTTTTGACAAAATAATTCAAATTTTGATATGATGTGATATATATAGTCTCCGAAACGTAACATTCCCTATTATTCTATTGTCTAGCACATCCAATTTATCATGTTCTTAGCCAGCTGACAATCAAATATCTAATAGTAACAAAGTGTATATACAGGATAAATATACTATGCAGTAAATTTGAATGTGGTGTATTGTTTGAGCAATACTGGATGGCTTAGGATGGATTATATTAACAGGTGGAGGCTCTACTATTTCGTCAAACTGATCGGAATCAGCAAATATTAATGAGGACGGAATCCACCGCAGTCTTTAAGAAGCAGCATGTAAATATTAAAAACAAGTTAGAAATATTTTCATTGATTTCTATATCAGAACTTATTAATAAAACTATGATTATCAGTCAATAACCTTTCACGGAAATAAATGGAAACAAATATAAAATAATCTCAACAAATAGCAGGGAAAGTTAGTGATATTAATGAAAATTAAATTTCCTTGAAACACATTGGAACCTGTTTTCTTATGAGTTTTCACTGTTTCACTAGAAATAAATTTTCACAAATTAAAAACATAACTATATTGCTCTTACAAAAATTATACAGCATATAACTTTGCTTGGGGGGGGGCAGTTTTTTTTAGGAGTAATACAGGGTGGGCCATGAATTTGTTTACTTTTAAACTCAAGTGGTACGGGACTTGCAGAGGGGATTAGTCGCTAGCCTGTTTAAACAAGGTGCGCTCATTACTGTTAGGCGTTTGTTTAGCTTGGAGAACGATTTACATGACTTAAATCACTGTCCTAGCTGCTCTAGTTCAACACGATCCACATTTATCGAAGCACAAATGTTTGGCTGAATTGGCAATACCACGCACATTCTTACGCCATATTTTGAAATTGGATTTGAATTTACATCCCTACGAGATCCAACTAGTACAAGAATTAAAACCTAATGATTTTAAATTTACGCAAATTGTTTGCTGAAGTTATTTTGGATCACTTCAATAACATCTCCTTTTCCACCTTAATCGGCACAGTAATAAACAGAACAGCGGATATTGGAGCAGTAAAAATCCTAAAGCCAAACATCAAAGGCCTCTTCATTCTCCTAATATAACGATTTGGGTGGCAATTTTGGTTGGAGGAGTCAGTGGGCCCTATTTCTTCGAGGATGAGCTCTACTGAGTGTTTGAGAATATTATGGCACCACCATCCAATCGGACTACGTGGTTGCAGCAAGACTGGGATATTTGAAAAATAGTGTCACACTCGTAAACCAACGACACAGCTTCGATTAAAAGCAAACATTAGAGATGACTGCAATATCACAGTCTCTTTGCAGAAGAGTCTTCGAAAATTTCTGTGCTGGTTTAGAAGAATGTCTTTTCATTTAGGTCATTTAGATGTCATTATTTTTTAAAAATAAATTCCTGTTTACTGTTTACTGTTTTTTTAATATATAACTTAAAATAAGTCATATAGTTTTATTTTTATTAAATATTTAAAAGTGAACAAATTCTTAGCCCATCCTATATAATGTGTTCCCTAGGATACTAATCTGAAGTAAATTAAGTAAATAAATAGTCCAGTTCTAATTCAAGTCTTGGTACACTGCCACTGATGGGCAGTTTCCAAACTCAGTTCTATGTGTGCGCCTATCAGTAAAAACTAACTATATCACACTAACTTGGTAATAATATGATAATAATAATTCTGTAGAAATAGATTGCTTTTGTGTGACTGCAACATGTTATTTTAAAGGTACCATATTTTTTTTTTTTTGATACAGACGAAGTACATTTGGTGAAATAAATATGGTCGAATATGTTTACCTCTTCATTTTATTACATTTATTATTCAGTTTATCGGGTTATGAGAAAATATTTGTAATATGATAGGAAATTTCACAACTCTGTGTGAAGTATTAGTTTTTGCTGGAATTGTAATAGATTTTGTATAATGTAATGTTGTGTCTTATTAAGTTTAACTTTATAGTAAAATTTAAAGTGTTATTTAATTAAGTATCCTGTATAGTGTAATTGCATAACCATAAAGTTACTTGTTTCAATGTTTAGCGATGGTAGCATTTGTCTATGTGTGGGATATGAAAATAGGATATGAAAATTATGAAAAAAGATTTAGCATTTACGATGGAATTTGAGAAACCAAACCTATATGTCCTAAAGGTCAAAAGTAGTAAATATGAACCCCATTCAAAGTTACATCCAGTATAATATTAGATTCACGCAAACATTTTAGGAAAAAAGCAAATGATATTGAGTGTAATCAGAAATATTCTATAAAAGAGTTCTACATCAGAAATTGTAGTATCGATTTTGATGCTTGAGAGTGATGTATTTTGAAAAATTCATAAAAGAAAGTTCCTCAAATTAGAAAAGTTGTTGAACTGATAATGTTCTTAAAAGTGTCCAAAACAAAAAAAATACAAATTTATTATTAAGTACCTACCTAGAACATGGTTTAACATTTAATCCATTAATGGCCTTCATTCCCAAGTCCAACCTCTGCGAGTTTTGCACCTCAAATCCATGTATGCAACCATTAAAGCCCTGTGTAAATCTACTTCCTGTCATTCGTGTAATGTTTGGTGTGCCACCGATGTAAATATTTCCATTCGTATTCATAGAGTTGACGAATCCATCAGCTTCACCTTCTTCTGTCCAAGTGTTGTCGATTTCTATAGAACCTTTTCTTCCTGTCCGTTTTAATATAACACTATGCCTTTCACCATCATCTACTTTTTTTTGACGGTTCTGTATTATAGCAGGTCCCATGCCAAGGTCAAAGCTGTATTCCAAATAGCCATTTTCCACTAAAATAGAATGCCATTAAACAATCAGCAATTAAATCATGGAAAAATAATATTAAAAATTTAAAATTTTAGTAAATTCATGATTGACAAAAGAATCATTAAAATATTTGTTTACATTATTTTACATTAAATACTGAATAATAGTTATTTGCCTCATTAAGTAGTAAAGTACACGATTTAAAACGCGACTAGTATTTAATAGACGAGGCGCAGCCGAGTCTATTAAAGCAGCCAAGCCATTAATCTACTTTACTGTTAAATTAAATATATTACTTTTTCCCTGATCAAATTTAATTTAATCATAATATTTATATTAAAATTGTACTTCTTTCATGAATAATAATAATTTCATCACGTCGTCTGAGATGAGCCTTATTAAGTAAATAACTTAGGTACAAAGTAATCACCATATCGTTTCTATTTAAATTCATAAAAATAACTACTTATTATTTGAGAAGGGAGAATTCACATTCCGCTAGAAATTATTAAATCAGCAAAGCAAATAGAGTGTAATTTATTTCCAGAAAAATCGAATAAGATATATATCAGCAAACATATAAAAAATTTGAGTATGAATAACATTGTCATTTTCAGAAAATGTGCTATTGGTATATTTTTCTGAATTAAGCAAAAGTATGAAATCTTCATTATGTCAGTACATGTCTAGATGCGTCATCTAAAAAAATTTTTAGCGAGAGCAATTTTAATAATTTTTTTTATACAAATTTTATATTGGCCTTCAAGAAGTACTTGTTAAACCTATTACAATGATCCAGCTGCTAATCCACACCTGATGATTTTTTTGCAATCACCTTTTTTGAAAATTACTTTAGGAATTTTTTTATAACAAATTTGTCAACTTCACATTCTTCAGCATCATGTATAATCTCTGTGGCACAAGTAGTTAATTTCATTGCAAAAAAATCATTGTAGTCTATGGATCATTGTAATAGGTTTAACATCTATAAGACCAATATATAAAAGAAAACTTTAGACGTGTTTTAGCTCATAATTGGGGGTACAGTATGTATGGACAATAAAAAATTTATAACAAACTGTTATATTCCTTTATAAAATTGGGTTTTATTAGTTTCGTTCATTAAACTCCTGCAAAAGTTCTAGGTTGGAATATTTTTTTGTCTGCAGCTGTATAACGATATTCATACATTTTAGTGATTTCCACATAAAATAATAATACTTACGTGCTAATGATATATAATCTTGCCCTTGACCGTCTTCATTAGGTTTCTGTCCATGCCAGAAGATCACCCCATTTGATGAATTGGTTGATAGTTCAAGTGCTATAATTTCAGTCTCATCATCATTCTCATGGGATAGTAAATCTCTATTAAATTCTAAATACCCATTGCCGTCAAAGTGTGCATCATTTCTTAATTCAGTTCCTGGAAAGTACAAATTGAAAATAATTTAATAATGTAATGCATTAGATTCGTTACTCTTACTTTGTTCGCAATTAACTCCTGTAAATCCTAGTAAACAGTCACATGTGTAGTGTGTGTTATTATCTTTACAAACACCTTGATTCTGGCATGGCAACTGCTCACACAGATTTAGAGAATTCTCGCAGTTTCTGCCAGTGAATCTTGGCGAGCAAGTGCACGTATAGTCTGTGGGCGTTAAGGGGTAACAAATTCCTTGATTTAAACAGGGACTACTGGAACATCCAGTTTGTTTGCTGTTGTAAGACAGTGGCTTCAGAGTGTTTTCATGCGCATATTCAGGTGGAAAGTTATTATCATCATCCTCACTACTACAATCTTCTACATTGGAGGAATCTGTTACATTCTGAATTATATTGATTTCTAAACCAGAAACACTGACCTGTAAACAATATGAAAAATTTTCAGTTGCAATATTAGTAATCATTATTAAAAATATTTCAATATTAAATTTTACAGAAACAGTTCCAAGGATATATTGTAAATGCTGTAACAGTACCAGTGTAATAATTTTTGACTCACATTTGATATACATCCATTGAAGCCAGAATAAACCTTGACGCCGTCATTAATTCTGACATGGTGCTTGTCATAGCCACCTATGTACAATGGGGTTTGAAGATTTAGAGTTTTATGGTTACCACCCAACCGCCCTACTGAAGGTGCACCTCCATCAACCATTAACCTACCATCACTTAATGTTCTGCTGGCTGTAATTAAATGCATTTGACCAGGTACCAGCTCTTCATTATGCCTAATTACAGTTACTCCTAAAAATTAACAATACATTACTAACAGCAATGGAAACCGTGACATCGATGAGTGTTAATATTACATTATTTATAATAAAAAAAATATGAAATGGCTTGTGTGATTATGTCCTGATGATACAACCACAAAGTAACAATGTGGTTTGATACAATTTGCAGTGTGTTCATTTTGCAAACTTTTAGAGAGTTCTTGAGGGAACTGTTCACAACAAACATCTATTGTAACTGTAAGTCATCTAAAAATATTCGAGAATATCAGAGTTGAACAACCTAAAAATAGGTAGTCTGTGCGTAGGATAGGATGAAAAGTTTAATACTAGGTTCGTCTTTTTATTGTTTTATACATTTTTTATTGTTAGGCAATACATTTTAACTGTTGACAACATTATTTGAATAAATGGTATAGTACTTCGAAGACGCATTGTTTTGTTTGTCTTTTTTTTGTTTGTTTTTTTTATGTTCTTCAGTTTTTGTTTTTCTGTCTTTTTATTTTCTTTTGTTTTTTAGTTTATAGGTTTTTTATTCATTTACCTATTTTTTATATATCCTTCTATCCCATACATCTTCTGTTCAAAACACATCTTGCAGTATTATTTGTTGCAGCCATTGTGGTATTTGTAACACAAAAAACAAAAAACACAAGAGACTTTAGTTCCTTTTTCCTTTACCTCCACGCGGTAAGAGATGGGAAGCATTGAACATTGATGGCTAAATAGATACGACTAAATGCGGGCAAAAGAGTGAATATGGTAACGAAAATATTCAAAATTAAAAATAGGAAGGGTTAAAATTTTTCCTGATGTTTCTGTCTGAATTATTATTTTTCTAAATATGTGGGCACATTTGAAAGAACCCCCAAAAACATAGTCTAATAAGTTTGAATTGATTTTTTGCCTGGGTGCACCGGTGGCCGTGGTTCAAAGATACCCCCTTCAAAAATCTTATTTCGAGATACGCCACCTCCATTACAACCAAAGGTCATTCAACTGTTAAATATTATAGATGTTCTTTATTCTATGCAATTTTCAAATTAAGTGACCAATTCTGATGCACGAGGCTTCATATTGTTTAGAAAACAATGTTTTTTAAGACTTGGGCCCAGTACTTTGAGTCTTGGTTAAGGCTCGATTAACTAATCAAGCTTTAACTGAGACTCAAAGTACTGGGCCTTAGGGTGTCTATTTGAACTTGTATTCAGTTGCAATTAGATCTTGTTGAGACAAATATAACAAGGTTTCATTTACTAGTTCCCACAATAAAAAATATACTTACCGTTTCCGGCATCAAACCTAAATTCTAGGTGTCTGTCTCGAATCGCCAAACTAATAAAGTCACCATGGCCTTCTTCTGTCTCACTACAGTAAAGCAAAACTCCATCGGCAATATCAGAAGGTTTAATTTTAAGATCGATTTTCAATCGTCTGGCAGGACGAGGCGCTGGATAGGCTATGTAAGCACCATTTTTAAAGGCTGGTTCATTGATAGTTATTTCTCGCTCACATCTTCGACCTGATCGGCCTAATGGACATTGACATTCAAAACTGTTTTCAGTATCAATACATCTGCCAACACCACAAGCATCTAAAACAAAATTTCAAAAAATTTAAGATTAGATAAGGTAAAAAAGTAAGTCCATTTTTCAATTCCATGGAGATTACTTACGTGGTGAACAAGCCTCTCCCTTTAATCTGTTACAATTGGGTCCACTGAAACCAGACGGACAGATGCAAACATAACCTTCTTTAGATAAAGCTTCTTGACAGGCACCTTTATTTTGACATAACCTTTCACTACAAGATTCACAAGTAGTTATACCGGTCATATTTTTATTGTTACGTAAAATGTCTTCAAAAACATGGCCAATCTTAAAACGTCCAATACAACCTAAAATTTGAAATATTTTTATGTCGACACTAAACTCTATTCATGCAAATCAATATTTGTCTATTGAACAAAGATTTTATTTGATAATAAAAATATTCTTACCGACATATCCATCATACCGATTATTTCCAAACACTTCAGGAGAGATATTATATGGATCTGGGACACCTCCTAAATATAAATGTTCGGTCAAATCCAATCCAATGAATTTTCCATCTGCAGTTCCGATATAAGGTCCTTGGCCATCTACATACATTGTTACTTTCTTCCTGTTTCTTACTATCTTAATAGTATGCCACTCCTGATTAGTAATTGATCGATCTGCTCTCACCACAGTGGTACTCTGGCCCAAGTTATATTTGAATTCAGGTATTCCATTGACTAGCGACAGAGCAATGTAATCTCCACTTCTGTCATTTCCCTTGTTGCCGTTGTATAAAATCAAACCATTTCCCCTTTCAGGTCTGACGGATACTTCAAAGTTAAACTGAATGTAAGAATCACCCAATGCTGGAAGTGTGATGTAACTGTTAGGTGCTTGTGTGAAATATGGAACAATGCCAGTTACTACAAGTATAATTGGTACAGTGGTAGATCTAACACCACTGCTAGCTGAACATGTATAAGTTCCAGCGTCAATGCTTCCCACATCATTTAACTGAATTTCTTTCTGAAATAAAAGAATACAGTATTATCTTATAGTATAGTATAGCCTCGATTAACCATGTGTGGATCATCCAGTATGCCGATTATCTGTGCAGTGGCTAGGAATTTGTTTTTATTGATGAACTTTTAATTTTTAAGTTTTTTTTATTTGGATATATTGAGATGTAACCAGTGAGCGCAGTTACATCTCAAGCAAAAGAAATGTTTTATTCATTGAACAAATGTTGAAAATGTTAATGGTATAATTTAATGCTAACTGAGACATATAGCTCGTAGACTCTACGGCACAGAGCAGCAATTGTTTCTTGCAATATCATTACTCACATATTTACATATAAATTAAATATTACTAAGAATTTAACGACGGAATTTGAAAAAATAAACTATTGATACGTGTTTCTAAAGGTCAAAGGAAACCTCTGTATAAATATGACAGCGACTCAAAGTTACACTCTGTATATCATATCAAAATATATTTAATATATGTTTTACAAATTGTTTCTGATATTTCCTAGCAGAACAGTTATACTTCCGTTTTATGTCTTTCGTGTTCAGAAATGTATATCCCGTTCTTTCAAAGTTTAGGCTTAGGAAAATATTTCTTGATGAGCACTTGATACACATTACAACATCTTTGCACAGTAAAACTGTGTGATGAATTGATTCTTTGCATTTTGCTCTGCCACAGATTGCTGGTACCCCTAATTCAATTATTGTATTTTAAAATATTTTTAAAGTGGGCATATTGCCAAAAAGTGATTGTATACTTAAAGAAGTTATTAAAATTATCAGTCAATATGAAATTTCAGCATAAACTTCAACAACTAATTTCTCACATTTAAAAACCAAAAATAAGGAAAATGAATACAGACTTCATTTCTCGTCAGTCTTTACGTATATTGTAAATAATTGTAATTATCAGAATTTAAGCTTGCTAGTGACTATTTTGGGATCCTAAAGAGACTTGAATTAAAGTTTATGAGTTATTATATTCTTATTAAATGATGTTTAAAACATTTAATGTAAAATATAAATAGCAATAGCATATTTTTTTAAATAAATGAAAATTTGTGCTCCGTGTGTACTGAAGGAGAGGGGCTTTTCTGAGATTGCTTAGCAGCAATGGAGTAAAGGCCATATGCATTCCAATAGGTTTAAATTTTAATGACTGTAATAAAATAAAGTGTCAACTGCTTTATGGAAAAATATAGATCTAAAAATGTTTAAGTACTTCAGTCCACTCCTTGTTTGATATTCACATATTCACACTAATAATTTGTAAAAAATAAGTTATTTTTCTCTTTATTTTCCTGCTTCTATAAAAAAAATATATTTTCACCACACTGTTTGAAAACAAAATATATTAGAATGTATTATTTTCAGAAATTTGGTCCAAATTTTCGTTACTTACATTGTAGATATTAATCTATTGGGGAAGTTAATATTAATAACTTACACTGTAAACATCAACATATTGTGGAAGGCTTCCTCCTTGTTTAGTCCATAGATATGTGACAGGCTCTGCTAAGTCAGTTTTACATTCTAGAATAACACTGGATCCTCTTTGTACACTTTTTACTTCAATAGGTGCTTCATCTTTAATTTCATCATCTGAAAGAGCACAAAATGTAAATAACTGCCATATTTGTAAGGCACAGCATAAACACAATTGAGAAGAATGGGATGACTCCAAAACGGACAGTAGACAGTGTAGCTGGACCGATAGCTAAGAAGCTGCAGACTGGGAGCTCGCGCTACAGCAAAGCAAAAATTTTTGCTAAGTGTATCTCAAAAAAATATAAAAATATATGTTTACATATACTCGGATAGTAAGTCTCAAACAAATGTTTTCAAAACTTATTTGCAACTGCAGTTGCCAAATGAACTTATCAAAAAGGCATCTAATGAAACAAAAAAAGCAGTTGAAATTCCAAAAAAGGAAGTCAGCTGTTGATATTCCATTGAGATGTGATCCACTAGCCTTCAAAATGTACACTGATTCTGGTTTATTCAAATTTCACTGTTTATTCTTATTTATCCCAGCGGATTCTGCTCATATTCTATCGTATTCCGAATTATTCCTATTGGTTCCAATTTAATCCTGTCTATATCTATAGCCTCATAATGAATTAAAAAGTCTTAGCTAAGGAAAACTACCGGGGCAAACATACGACATATTTATAATTTTGAAAGCAGAAAATGTACGGTTGAAAAATGTAGGGTGTTAAAAAGACTTATTAAACCCAAATTATTCAATACATTTTGAGTTTTCCACCATAACTTAAGTGAAACCGTTATATTCCATTGTATTCTGTATACTCTAGAACAAAAGTATTTCATCACATTTCATTTATATTTCATTTTATTTTCATATATTTCGCTATAATTCCAGTTTATTCTAAGATATTATTATACTTCAGATTATTCTCATATATTTCCTGCTATTCCGTCATATTCTAGGTTACTTTGATATATTCCTGCCATATTTTAACCGAACCTTACACTGATCAGGGCTAGTGCATCACTTCTCACATTCCTTATACCACTCCGAAACATGCTTAGAACAATTTGGTGAAAGAAGAACGTGATAAATAATGGGACTCATAAGTTGATGAGAAGGAATGATGAATAATTAAGAGAAATATTGGTTAGCAGACCTATGGAATTTATATTGAAAATAAATTTGTATATTGTATAAATAGATAGTACGAAGCCAAGATAGGTCTGAATTGGCTGCAGTGCTTCAGAACACTTTGGAGAAATAATCCAGAGGTTAAGTTGAAGAACTGCCTTGTTCACTATACTAACCAGTGACATGTAAGTTATAATCCTTGTAATAAACTCCTTGACGGCCAGTGGCCTCACATCGATATATGCCAGCATTTTCTGAACGTAAGTTACGTATCCGCAAACTTCCTCCAGCGTTTTCCACATTATTCGCCATCCATCCTTGTATTTTCGACCAGCTAGGTATTGCACCAGGTTCATTGGATTGACAGTTGATATCAATGCTTTCTCCAGAAAAGTGTTCACTTTCAGGTGGGGTTATGTGTAACGTAGGCTCCGGTTGAGTTGGACCTAAAATTGGTATATCGAAATATTGTTCTCAAAATAAAGAAATTTGAACACAGTCTGAACGTCATGCTAATTTGCGATACAGGCTGTTACAAATTCACTTCTCACTACAAGGATCTTGGAAACGGTAAGAGATACGAAGTAGTTTAAATGGGGGCAAAGTTGCGTAATCGGGGGACCAACAATATGCCTCTAAAAAATCAAGGCTAACATGATTAGTTTTCGAAATATTTGAAAAAAAAACGAAATTTTGGAAATCCGTTTTAGTTTCATTTCAGCCTTGTTTGAGGTGATATTGAAAGAACACTTTCTCATGGCCACTTTTTGCCCTCTATCGAATAGCGTAATCAATTTTTATATGTAACGTTTCGTCTCTCCAGGACCATCATCACCTTAAATACTTAAAATATGACCCTGGAAATTTTATTACATTTTTTGCAAGCCTTCATGACCTCCAATACTGTACTGCCTCAGACTGAACCAGATTCAGATGTTTTGTCTCGAAAAATTCATCTTCAGTGTATTCGTTCCAAATTTACTTAAATTTTTTATTTAGATTTCTTTGTTTATTGAATTATCATACACTGTAAGTGTCGTTAGACCCCATGAAATCCATCTAGTTATTTAAACTATTACCACCACACATTAAAATAAAACATTATTAGAGTTTTATTCCCGTGTGCATAGTAATTTCTAAGCTTCTCGAGTGCTCAAAATTCAAAGAAATTCCGATCTATTTTTTTCAGGATATTCATATAAATACATCTGACATGCTCTTTCACAGTTGCGGTTACAGATATTATAAATTCCGATAATATTACGCTGATCTTCATTTTCAACCTTTGCCAAAACGAAAATGTTTTTGAACATTTACAGAAATTTTTTAAAGAATAATATTCAGTTGGCGTGTAGGTTGTTCATATGCATCTTGAAAAATTAATTAGTCATAATAAAATTAAAATTGTAATATGTTTTAATTTTGACACAACTTATTGAGTTATGTATGACCGAGTGATGGTCATACCAGTTAATAATAATAAATGTTTTATTGTAACGAGTGGTAGTAATAGTTTAAATAACTAGATGGATTTCACAGGGTCTAATGACACTTACAGTGTACGATAATTCAATTAAACAGAGAAATCTAAATAAAAAATTTAGATAAATTTGGAACGAATACACTAAAGATGAATTTTTCGAGACAAAACGTCTGAATCTGGTTCAGGCTGAGGCAGTACAGTATTGGAGGTCATGAAGACTTGCAAAAAATGTAATAAAATTTCCAGGGTCGTATTTTAAGTATTTAAGTTGATGATGGTCCTGGAGAGGCAAAACATTACATATAAAAATTGATTACCCTATTCGATAGAGGGCAAAAAGTGGCCATGAGAAAGTGTTCTTCTTTTTTCAATATCACCTCAAACAAGGCTGTAATGAAACAAAAACGGATTTTCAATATTTCGGTTTTTTTCACAAATATTTCGAAAACTAATCATGTTAGCCTTGATTTTTTAGAGGCATAATGTTGGTCCCCTGATTACGCAACTTTGCCCCCATTTAAGCTACTTCGTACCTCTTACCGTTTCCAAGATCCCTGTAGTGAGAAGCGAATTTGTAACAGCCTGTATATGTATTTCCAGGAATTTCTTAGTTTTATGTAGCAATTTTACATTAAGTGCCAGTATTCCAGAATGGGAATACATGAAAGTAAATATATAGATTAGCATTAATTATTTGTGTAAAGTTTTAAAACAACAATACTAAGTATGTACATGAGAAGTATGGATGTTACCACTTTTATAGAAATTTATAAAAAGATAGGTAAAATCTTATTTGACTATTGATTTGCAATTTGTTGCAAATTGATTCACTTTACACAAATATGGCGAAAGTTCCAGTAGAATTACAATGCTGATTAAACTGTTATGTTTTCTTTATAAATGAAAGATAAAAATAAAGGTAGTGCTGAAATTAATATTTATACAATTTTTTAAGTTGCCAATAATTAAATGACTTTAAAAAGATATTAAATATATAAAAAATACAGATTTCCAAATACAAGTTGCCTTTAATTAAAGAGATCCTACATTTACATTATTAGTGAGAATTTTTTAACGAAAGCAATGCTGTGTTCAATTTTCTTTAAAAAAAAATGTAAATGTCGAAGAGAAATAAGACAGTCATAAATTAGTAGACATGAAAAGCACACACATAAACAGAGTTTCTTTAACTTTTGCAAACCATATGTAGATATAAATAGAAATAAAATTATTTTTTTATAATTTGAAGGAAAAATTATTGTACATAATACAGATACCTTATTTTGAACATCTACATATATGTTTTAAAAAGTTTATACCCCAATTTTTAACCAAAATGCCCCTCTACATGGAGATTGACGACACGCTAGAAAGCTACATAGTAACAAACCCCGTCGTATCCTGTGCTGACAATCCTTTTCGTCGCTATTATCACCACAGTCATCGATTGTATCACAATACTGTGACTGTGGTATACAATGTCTATTGTCACAACTCCACCATCCAGGTTGACATTTTTCTTCAGGTTCTACCACACATGCAATATATGCAATATTATACTAATAAGAAACTCAACTCATTTAAATAAAAAAAACTATTAGATACACATTATCGACACGTGTTTCAGATAATGCATAAATAAAATCATTGATTTAGCTAAGTAATTAATTAATTATATATTTTTATATATTAATTTTATACATTTATTTTTTTTTATGAAAAGTTGCGATGTTATATACATATTAGTAAAACTCGTCTAAAATGCAAATGAAACAAGAATCTCTGAATATGAAACACTGTTTATTTAACATCAAAATTATTAAAATTATGTAAAAATTTGACACATAAAACAAATATGTTTTGAGATATTCATGATTTCCGTCAGCATTCTTTCAAGATCGAATAGGTATGAACAAAACTGGCCTTAATTCAGTGATTCCTTTTATATTTGTTTCTCCCTAAAACAAATTTATATCCAATTATATATATTTTCATAATGTATGAATTTTCGATTGTATATTTAAATGTGATAAACCCAATGTTTTTTTTTATAAGAATTACTATTTGTACGTCTACTTTATTTCTTACATTTCCCCCTACCAATTTATCCTACCCACAAAATTATATATATATTTAAATAGTAATATTGTCCCTACATTTTTAATTTAGGCATTCTGAATTATTAAGTTTACTAATTGTAAGTAAATAATTATTTACCTTTTATATATGGGTTTGATTCTCTGTTAAAAGATATTGGAATCTTTTACCCTCGTTTTTACCTTGTATCAATTATATGTGAAAATATATGAAGTGATAACAATAATAGGATCGTTTCTCATGGCTCAATTTAACCATTATATTTTAAGACTTGCATAAAATATTTAACATTTTTTATTTTGTAGAAGTTTAGCATTATAAAGACAATCAATTCTACGATTTCAACTGACAATTAATTCCAGCTTATGTCTCACTGAGTAATTCCAGTGTATTCTACATTTACGCTTAAACAACTAATCATTATTATTGGCCATTGTTGGTACTGCTAATTTAACAACACAATTAGCATTAGTTTTATGTAAGCTACCCTATCATACGAGTCAAAATTAATTAAGAATTGCCCATAAATTTTGATGCATACAGGGTTGTATAGTGTTTCCGATATCAATTGAAGAACCAACAGATTGACACTATGTACCAGGTTAGGTCGCTGACACAGCAACTCGGAATTAAAAACTTGTTCCCATATTTATTTAGCCACACCCATATACAGGTCTGGTCCAACTAGACGTGGAGGTGGTAGAAATGTATACGCCCAGTTGAAGAATGCGAGCGCGGGCAAAGGGAAGCAAACACAGTAGCATTGGGTTACTGGGTAATAAATCTCAGCAGTTGACAAGTGGTTGATAAATTGTCCAGCAGTGCAGTGCAGCAATGCGGAATTTGGTGTGATTCAGGTAATTTTAATTTGTTATAGGCACCTTCTATCAATTATTCATATTACAATTGCGAAAGGGAGAAACAAGAGGGATATTTTGTTTACTAATATTATCTCAACATGGCATTTTGGAGACCTTGTGAAAGGGACCAAAACAAAATTTACCATCAATATAATAAAATTGTTTGTGGACATAAATAATTAAAATATGTTGTTGGTCAAATGAACATATAATAGAAATTTTCTACACATTATATACAAATTATAATTTTTTACCTTCAGTAGAAAACTTTTTTAGGGACCCCTCTATGACTCATTAAATTTTCTTGCCAGGCATTTTTTTGCATGTTCCACTGACTTCGGAAAGACTATACCCCCAAAACTGTACGTAATAATTTCCATTTGTAGAATCAATAGTAATTTAAATTTTAAAAAATACTGGCTCATTACTGATTGTAGTACGTTTCTTGTATACAAAAGAATACTGCTATTATCTATGTTACAACCTATATTTTTTACAAATAAAAATCACCATCTCAGTTTAACGCACCTGAAAGTAAAAGGGCTATGGAGATACCTATATATATTTTAAATAGAATTTCTGTTGAGGAAACGACCCTATTGCGCAACATAAAATTTTATTATTGAAGACAGATGAAATGTATGTAAGTTTTCTGTAAATAATGCAAGAATTTCGAATACTTTTAGAAAGAAATTTTAAACAACGAAGTTCAAGTTCGAAGTTCAAAATTTATTTTTGTTATTCCATGTTTGAACCTTATTGTTGAGTACAACTTTTATTAATTAACTTTTACATATTTTATTTATGCATCACTATTAACATAAACAACTAGAAACCAAAAGAAAAAAGAAAAAAACTTCAGACAAAACTCGATATGAAATACGGATGGATAACTAATGAAAAACACATAATATCAGTAGCACAACTCTACAAGACTTACCAGACAACTGCAAATCAATGTAGTCACTTGACGTTCCTGTGCCTGTTGTAATTTCACAGTAGTATCTACCTTGATCTTCTCTTTGGACATTATAAATATAAAGAAATTCCCCATTTACTTTCGAGCTTCTTGGAAGTGGTAGATTTTCTCTAATCCACCTAATTGAACTTGGTTGGTTGGTAGCACGACAATGAAGAGTAACTGATGAACCTATAGGAGCAATTTGCTGTTTCTGATCTGCAGTAATTGCAGGTCTTGAATAATTTTCTGTAAATAGAAAAAATGTAAGTAGTTATAGCCATTGTCAAAAAGAAAAGAACTAGACTCAGATCTACTTAAAATTTTAGATCTACTTTTTTTAAATAGCAACATTGCACCACGTTTTATCATATATGTTAAACTATTAGGGTTTTTAAGGTTTCTAAAGCATACATTTTTAGGTGCCTCACAAATGATTTGAGAAAATAAATAGTGGAGTCCTTGTTCAATACAAAAAAGCGCTAATTTAAAACGTTTCCATTGATGACTCTTTTAAAAGGTTATAACCTGCTTAAGTGGTAATAGAAATATTTTTTCACCAGTCAGTAGATCCTTCTCTTTTATAAATATTGTAAATATAATTGTTTTTCTCAAAATTTAAAATAAAAAAAAAGTGGGTCAGACCATGGACCAGATCAGTGTATCACATAATACTTTGAATCATTGAACCTGAATCTAAAGTCAGAATTCCCAAATTAGTCATGTTTAATATCAAGCAATCCCCTAGTTTTCAAGATTTTAAACGAACACAAGTAGTAGTGATAAAAAAACATTTGAATTCATGATGTCATTGTACTATAACCCCATAATCCTGTGGCTTCATAACTAGGGATATACGAGGGTGCAGAACCATGGAACTCTGAGGGAAGATGAATCTCATATATCAGAGGTGATTATGAAACTCAGGAGAATCTAACTCCATAATCCCTCAACCCGGGCATGCATAAATATTAAATTAAAAATCATCAAAATTGGCAAAGAAATTAAAACTAGCACTCGTTAAAGTTAGAAAATTTTCAATTTTCACAGATTTACAAATTTACCTTCAACAATGACGTCAGCTACGGCATCAGCTTCACCAGCACTATTAACTGCTTTGCATCGGTATGTTCCAGCATCTTGAAGTTGAATGTTGCTGAAACGAATAATACCATCTCTTGTGTAAACGGAAGTAGGCATATCACGTCCGATTGGTGACCATGAAATGCTTATGGGCTGCTGACCAGTTGCACTACAATTGATATAAGCGTGTTCCCCTGGATGTACTACTTGTTTTGGTGGATTAAGGGTTATTCTTGGCGGAGCTGAAATTTTTATATTATCATAAAATTATTAAAATTTGAATTCAATTCAATTTAAAATTTACATCCATATTCTATAATTTTATTATTACATTTTCAACTTATTTGCACTTTTGTACTATTACACTCAACCCAAATAATAAAGGATTGAAATAATCAGAGTGTGCATTGAGTGCAAAAGTGAAATAACATTTCAAAATATACATGTATTCTGGGGTGCAACGCTCTTGCTCACTTATTGATTTTTCAAGAAAATATTCTTGATCCAAAATTTTACTTATCTGCCATGATCAGTGATTAAATTTGTAATAAAATATACAAGTTGTTTAAAATGTTAGAAAATGTCAAATTTATTTGCAGTAAAGTATTTTTTATCAAAAATAATACTGAACTAAATTGTTTGGAAATTGAAGAAATACTTAAATATGAGATTTAATTAAAAAACAAAAAAAATACATTAAAAAACGAGGATTTGAGAAATCTAGAACTTGCGATCACACTTGAGAAAATGATGATATATTCAATGGGGTTTTTGGAAAAGGAAAATAATACCGTAAAAAAAAATTAAGAGACTGCAATTATTTCGTTGAATGGTGAAAAATGTTGTTTGATACTTGCTGGCTACAAATTCTCAAAGATGAAGTAAGTAATAATGGAATAAACAACATATGATATCTCTAGTTATGGAAACAGACAAATTTAAACTGTCAAAAGTAACTAAAAGGAAAAGTCAGAGAACACAATAACAGAAAAAATTTTCAAAACATAAAGAACTTTTTAAAGTGCATGATATAAAGAGATGCGTTTTTTGTATTTGTCTGCTCTGAAATTTGTAGTTAGGCAAAATTATTAAAAAAAAAATAACCCATGACTGATCCAATTAGCGGAAAGATTTATTTCATAATTTAAATTTTTTTCACAGGTGGAAAAAGTACTCAAAAAATAAGAAAAAATTAAAATTTTGCCACAAACAAATAACTTCAAACAATAACAAAAATTACATTTAATTAAATTTAGTTTTTATTTAACGTTCTGTATATTTTTCAAGTTTGAAACCACTGGTAATAGCATTCCAAGATAATTATTGTTTTCTCAAGAAAATCAATAATAAAGTTCACATGGGTGCAGTACCCCATGCAGGGATACACTGTATTAATACTATCTAAAAATAACTAGCAAGATGCACTAAACTTTTTTCTAAATTGGTTCTATTGATATTTGTATGCCTTTTTAACTTAATGTAGAATAATGGTATCACAATACATCTCTGATAGTAATTCGAAGAGTTTCATAATCTTTTCAATATCTAACTACAGGAAATGCTGATGAAAGTATGTTTATGCAATGTGTAACAATGCAATTCAAATTGCAGTCTTCAAATTTCATACAATGCAACTTCCTAATAGTGGCTACATTCATGTTAAATATGAATAAAATTACTCAGTAGTATTCTAGTTAGAAGAGGTCTAAACGTTTTCCACTGTAAAGAACAATTAGATTATTTGCTGTTAAAGCAAATATTTTATACAGGAATGGCCAGAAGTATGGAATAAAATTCATATCTTTTGAATGAGTTAATTTTTTTTAAAAACGCAGAAACACGTTAACTGATTCTGATTTTTTCCCATCTTTCGGTTATAATTAAATTTTCTGCAACCCCCTAACCCCCAGCTACCCCAATTTTTTTTTTTTTCAAATGGAAACATAAGACATGAGGGAGCTCGTTGAAAAGCTTATAGAAAACCGAATCCAGCCATACCAAATAAACAAGTTTTATTTTTTCAATAGCAAGGTTTTTAGGGTTGTATAAAACACCTACTTAAGAAGTGAAATAAAATTTAATTATCTTCAGTGTTATCCTCCATGAATTTGCACAGAATAAAATAAAGAATTTGAAACTGTACCTATCACTGCTAACGCAAAAAAGATATATTTTTTATGTTGCGTTTTTTTGGCACCACTTACTTGCCAGGCTTTCTGGTTAATTTTTCGCTTTAGTTGTAAATTGGAGTTCGAAACGTTACTATTGTGTCAAAATCAAGTTATTTACTGAATTGCAATGGTATTGTCGGAAAGGCAACGCATCGAAATCTTGATATTGCTTGGATGTGGAGACAAAATAAGAAGTCAGGCTGAAGTGCGCGATTTATTTAATGCGAAATATCCCGAAAACCAAATCTCGCAAGGGACAGTTAGTAAAATATTTCACAAATTTGAGGAACACGGTACAGTACAGACTTTGCCCAAAACTGGACGGGCACGTGCTTTGAATGAAGAAAAGAAATTAGACATTGCATTAGAACTTGTTGAAAATCCTCATACTTCAACTGTTTCATTGGCCCGCAATCACGATGCTTCTCGAACTGCAATTCGAATGTTTCTGAAACAAGAGAAATACCACCCCTATAAGGTATGTCTTGTCCAAGAGCTTTTGGAAGACGATTATGATAGGCGATTACAATTTTGTGAAGAAATGATGAGACGGTGTGACGACAATAATGGTTTTCAACGAGACGTACTTTTTTCGGATGAAGCTACGTTTTATTTAAATGGAGTGGTTAACAGGCACAACTATCGCTTTTGGTCCCAGGAAAATCCACACTGGACATGCGAATCGCATACGCAGCATCCACAAAAAGTTAATGTATGGGCAGGTATCATCAACAACAGAATCTTGGGCCCATTCTTTTTTGAAGAAAATCTTACTGCCGCACGCTACCTGGATTTCCTAACATTTGACCTGATACCTGCTCTAGCTGTGATTTTCCCTCATGAAATTGATCCAGATATACCGAATGAAAGAATTTGGTTCCAACAAGATGGCGCTCCCCCACATTTTGGTATTGATGTTCGAAGATACTTAGATGAAATGTTTCCAAATCGCTGGATTGGTAGACGGGGTACAGTTGAATGGCCGCCAAGATCCCCCGACTTAACACCCCTGGATTATTTTCTTTGGGGATATTTGAAAGAAAGAGTCTACCAGGACAGACCGGATAATATTGAGAATTTAAAGAACAAGATTAGGGCGGAGATGCATAATTTACCAGCTGAAGTCATTCAGAATGCTGTGGACAGCTTTTACTATCGTCTTGGAGAATGCCAAATAGTGAATGGAGGACATTTTCAGCATTTGCGACATTGAGTTTATTTTTGTAAATTACTTAGTTGTTTCAATTTCTAAATGCAAAAAAAACTTGCTATTGAAAAGATAAAACTTGTTTATTTAGTATGGCTGGATTTGGTTTTCTATAAGCTTTTCAACGAGCCCCCTCATGCCTTGTTTCCATTTGAACAAAAAAAAGTAGGGGTAGCTGGGGGTTAGGGGGTTGAAGAAAAATTTATTATTATATAACCGAAAGATGGGAAAAAATCAAAATCAATTAAAGTATTTCCGCGTTTTAAAAAAATTTAACTCATTCAAAAGATATGAATTTTATTCCGTACTTCTGGCCATCCCTGTATATTTTGACTGATTATTTCCAATGTTTCAATTTCTCATTAATCAGAGGAATATAATTATGGAAATGTTATGCAACACCCAACAAAACACAATTTGCCGGAAGTTTTACTTTTCCTTTTTAATTCAAACAAAAGTGCTGCTGAAAGTCATCAAGTGCCGTTGAAGATTCATGTCAAACATAAGATGAACTTACTGAATCGTTGAATGTTGATCGCACAACAGTTTCCAAACATTTAAATACACTTAGTATGATTCAAAGGCAAGGAAATTAGGCCTCATACGAATTGCTTCAATGGCAAAAAAGAAAGTTATTTTGCATCGTATCGTCACTGGCGATAAAAAATGGATACTCATGGTAATCACAAGCATAGAAAATCGTGATGTTTGCCTGGTCATGCATCAACATCGACGGCAACGCCAAATATTCATTGTTCAAAGCTCATTCTCTGTATTTGATGGGACCATCACTGGTGAACGTTACCGAACACAATTGATGCATGTGAGCTGTGCATTGAAGGAAAAATGGCTGCAATTCAAGCAAAGGCACGGTAAAGTAATTTTTCAACATGATAACTCTCGACCACATGTTACTCGTGAAGTCAAAAAATACTTAGAAACGCTGAAAAGGGATGTTTTACCCCATCTGCCATATTCACCAGATATTGCTCCATCAAGCAGCGCTTCCAATCTTATGAAGATACCAAAAATTGGACTGATTGGTGGATAGCATCAAAAGATGAGTTGTTTGAAGCGGAATCCATATACTGCCAGAAAGATGGGAAAAACTAGCGGCTAGCAATGGACAATACTTTGAAAAATAATAATGTATACAATTTTTGACAATTAAGTCTTGAATGTACAAAAAAATCCCTCATAATTAATAATTCACAGTCCATATATTTTCATCTTTTCATAGGACCGTCTTTCACTCAAATAAATGTAATCAAATTTGTACACACTTCAAGTTATTCTAATTTTCACCTGTGTTCATCATGTTCACTCTGTTTTTAATTTATGTATCATAGTTTTTGGACTTTATACTGTGGAGGGTGTATTTAAAACAATTTAAGAGGCATAAAATTATTGGTCCTGTCTAAATACATAAAAGATTTCTTCAACATCGAATAATTTGAAGTCTATCTCCTCAATCGTTCTTGATGCAAATAATTGATGAAAAACTGTGATTTAGATGCATTCTTTGAAGAATCATAAATCCTAATAGGAAACATTTTAAGGAAAATTGAACAGGAAATAGTCTTGAGAGCTTACCGCAATGGCACTGCTACACATTCTAGAAAATTTAAATTGTAATACATCTTAACAACACAGAAATGATCTACATTGTGTATAAAAAAGTTACAAAACTTAAAAAAAAATCCAAGAAAACATTTCAGTTATGCAAAATCAATATTTGAAAATTGCAAAATAGGTTGAGATATTAAATAAGCAAACTGTGTCCTGTTATTTTCAAGCATGCATCTACAGGGTATTTCCTAATTAATGTAATATATTGAAGAGAGCGATTTCACAGAAGAAAAACCTTTACAGGCAATAGATTCTCATATATGCTTTCACGATTTCTCCTTCAGTATCAGATAAAAAGTGACTTGATATTTTTTCAACCTTAATTCAAGAAGAAAATACGATATTATTTATAGAAACACATGAAAAGCTTATAGAGGACGTACTTTCATATAGTTTTTTAAAATGAACATGATCATTAGCCTTTATTTTCAAGATTGGCCTGTTTTCAATTAAAAGTTGTGTTGAAATGTATGTCACCTGTTGTGAGTAAATTTTTTCATGTTATTAATAAAATAATTTTTTTCCCATAAACTAGGTTTCATTTGAAAAAATGACACTCTTTATCCTGAAGATTGGAATCACAGATGTGTTCCTTGTGAAACAAATTAAATTTTAATTTTCGGCCAGTGTAGAAAAAGAGGTATATTTCCATAAAAAGTAGAAAGAAGGTATATTTCCATAAAAAGTAGAAAGAAGGTATATTTCCATAAAAAATGACTCATATAGTGCTTACGTCTTCCTCCAATATTTTAGATTACTTAGGAAACACCCTGTATAAAGTTTAAAAATAATTAAATTAATTTATGATACAGTTTTTGCAATAATTCTTTATGAAAAAAAAGGTGCGGAATGAGAATTACATTGATGCAATTACAAAAAAAATTGTTACACAAATATTATAACACACAGTAGAGGAAAAGTACTGTGAAGATTTGAAAAATAATTAATACTTTATTTAAGATCGAATTTTAATTATTGTAATTGTAATGTAATTTATAAAATATGACTGAAGGAATTGGCAAATATTCCATCGTTCGCAAGTCAGTTTACAAATAATGCGCCTTAAATAATTTTAAAACAAGATTTTTTGTTATTCATAAAATTAATGCAATAATTTCTCTAGGATTGTATAACTGTATCTTAAATTGTACATAAAAGAATTCCAACAAAACACTGTACCTAATAATGCACATATGTCTTCCTCTGCTGAATGCAATAAAAATCAAATAATAATTATAAGGTGACATACAAAATAAGTTAAAAAGCATAATATAATAAAGCATTTAAAACAACTTACATATAACATCCAGATAAGTTCTAATGCGGAATTCGACCTTTCCTGAATGATTGACTCCTAAACACTGATATTCGCCAGCTGCCGATGGTTGTACATTTTCAATATAAAGAGTGCCACTTGATTCGTATGCTTCTCGAGGAAGTGAAGAGTTGTCTGCGCGAATCCATTGCACTCTGATACGTGACCCTAAAATGATATTTACCTTTATATGTTATATCTAAGATTATGACTAACATACCATCTTGGTTACTAAGGCGGCATCTTATTTCTGCACGAGTTCCTACTGGAGCAGAGAATTTTTGGTCATAACTTGGTGTATCAAAAGGTGGTCGCGGTCGTTCATTGTGTCTGTATCCACCACCGGGAGTTCCAGAAGTTGCATCTTCACCTTCAAAAAGTAACAAATATATTAACATTTTCAGTTTTGATACACCACATGTTCTGTTTAAGGACTAACCACTCCCCCGTAACTTTTTGACCTATTTTAATAATTATTTTTTTTGGTCGTACTATTAAAGGTGTTTTTTAGGGAAAACAGATTCTTACTTAGTATGATCTGAAGCACAAGTATACCGATTTTTTAGTATCGTGAGTATGCATGTTTTAAATATGTAATTAAGATAGGTTTTTAGGTGTTCATAATAGACTTTTAAAGAGAAACAGTTTTTTAATATTTTTAACATAATTTACAGGTCTTCCTTATCAGTTTTTGGGTGTTATTTACATGTTTAATAGTACCTAAATCCCCATTTTTTTTTTTAAGTAATTGAAAAATATTAAAGACTGCTATTCTTGTAGTATAATACTGCAGTTTTTTTTAGATCAGCTTTATAACAGTTTTAGTGTTGTCAAATAACACAGAAAACTTCATTAGAGAACAATTCACTTTGAGGCTATATACCTACTTTAATGGAATCATTTTTACGATTTAGATCGTCTTCATATTATATCTTACATCAGAAAAACCTAAAAAATACCTAATTGCAGTTTTGCATCATCAAAATGTAGTTGGACATGCTTCCAATATGCATTAACCAAATTTAAAGAAAATCTAAAAAAGAAAAGTTCCTTAAAATTTACCATGGTGGCTAGTTCTTAAAGAGAAATGCTCTGTGCCAGTTCAGTGATAAGGGATATTCACTTTTAATCTAAGTTGTAATATTATAACTCTACGAAACATGCATGTTAAACTTGTTTTTCACCTACCTGGATAATAAGGGCGTTCTAACAGTCCCAATTAGTAGAGCATCAACATTAAGCAACATGAAATTATAGGAACAAATGTATGAAAATGAAATTTTAATTATAATACATAAAACATATACTATACATTTTTAATTTAAAATGTGGGAAAAAAATCATGAATTGCAGAAGAATTTAAATAGGCTGTCATTAAGATTAAAAAATATTATCTATAAGTTAACACAAAATTTAGGATTACTGTGAAAAAGATCAATCGATGACAAGTTATTGTTCAATAATATAAAATTAACTGTGAAGCAAAATACAAGATGTGCCAGTTAAGAGTTTCACTGTCGTTTCTTTAGAGATCAAAATGCATGCATACTTGAAATCTATTGGTGAAGGAAGTAATGAGTTCAGCTTCCCATAAAAATGTGTCTATTCAATCCCAGAAATAAAAAAATGAAGGGAATATATATTGAGTGATTCACAAAAAACTTCCAACCCCGATAATTAAATTAACAATGGAAAAGATTTTTTAATTCAGAACAAATCAGTTGATAAAGCTCCTCACTGGTGTCAGTTAAGAGCGTAAGTAGTGTTTTCCAAAGCAAACCGTAGACGACACGAGTGAAAAAAGAAAAACTGCGGAAAGTGAGAAACTAAAGATTAATCCTTACACTAATTTGGCAATATATTTTTTACACTATTTATTATTATTTATTTATTTATTACTTCCAAATAGGCAACAATAATGCTTAATTACAAAGAACTTAAAAACAAATAAATATAACTATTTAGACTGGTCAACAGACAGTACATACTTATACAGGGTGTCCCGAAATTCATGCAACAAAATTTGATCACAGATTCTTAGGATAAATTTAGGGGACCCCTATTTTTTATTTTTGCCAAGTGGCCCCCTCTCAGAACCCTGTTGTACGAGAATCACTAAATTTGGTACACAGGGGTTTTATGACGTGAAATCTAAAGGTGCAACATTTTTTAGTGGGGAACCCCCTTAAGACAATTTTTCGTGGGCCCCCTTGTCTTTGGAGCCAAAAAAATTTGATAGCATATTTAAATTTCTTAAAAATTATCAATCCACTAGAAAGCCATTAAATTTAGAAACTTTTTGTCCCTTTATACTTTTTTCGTAAAAGGCAACGTTTTCCAGAAAAATGTCAAAATGTGATCGAATGCATATCGTGATTCGACATTTTCCTCAAAAACATTGCGTTTTACGAAACAAATATCAATAGACAAAAAAGTTTCTAAATTCAATGGCTTTCTAGCTAACTATTAATTTTAAAAAAAATTAAATTTGCGACCAAATTTTTCTGGTTCCAAAGACAAGGGGGCCCACGAAAAAGTGTCTTAAGGGGGTTTCTCGCCAAAAAGCGTAGCATTGTGAGATTCCACATGTCATAAAACCCCTGTGTACCAAATTTAGTAATTCTCTTACAACATGGTTTTGAGATATAAAAAAACTTCTTAGGTACAGATTTCAGGGGGCTGTAACTCCGAAAGAGGGGGCCAGTTGACAAAAAGAAAAAATACAGGTCCCCTAAATTTGTCTTAAGAATCTATGACCAAATTTTGTTGCATGAATTTCGGGACACCCTGTACATGACAGATTTTATAAACTCGTCACCTCAGAGTTATACTGTTGTATGTCGCATTTTTGTAATTTTTTAGTTATTAGCGCTACAAAGTTGTATGTCGGTTAAACTTTTTTTCTGTGGAGGCACAAAGTTGTATCTTAATAGTTTTGATGCAGGCAACCAGAATTATAAAATTGTATGCATCCAATACAACGTTTTTACGGTTGCATAGTGGTATGTGGTACTTACACTCTGTTAACCTCAAGAATTTTATTATCTTTCGGTAACAAAATTGTATGTGTCACAACAACTACATTGTTATTTTAAATATAATTTCTGTAACCATGAAATTCTATACTCCTTGTCACTCATGTAACCAAGAAATCGATTCTGTACATAGTTGTATTGAAAGGGTATTAAATAAAACGGAGTATTATTCACCCTTATCTCTGTTACGAATTCTATTAAAAGTGAAAAACCGTATAAAATTATTCAATTAAAGGAAGAAGATTTTAAAGATTATAAAGCATGTGCTTCTTTATATAATTACAAATCCGTTCCTTTTAGCCACGTCGTTGCCTTAAAATTCACGCAATCTCAATTTGAAGTAGAATATAAAATTAATCATGCACTAGAAAATTGGAAAAAAGTTTGTATTCATGATATCCGACCTACAAGATCTGATGCTGTAAGAACCAGCAATAAAATGCAACTCCCATCGCGTTTATCTTTTAATGAATCCATTCCCGAAAATAAAATACAAGCTCTCAAAAGTATGTTCAAATGGATGCCTGAACATATTATACAGCAATATTTCCAAACTAATTTTCCTCTGCTCTTAATTTTGTTATATTAAATGTATTTCTATGAATAATGTGTTAACTTTTTCGAAAAATATCTGTTAGGATTACTTTTTTTACGTTTATAAAAATGCAAAGTTGCATGTTACAGGCTATTTTGACAATAAAGATTTTTATTGAGATAACATAGTTGTATGTTTTTTTAAATATCTGAATTTTAGCAAAAAAACTTTTTTTTCCAAAGTTTTGTACATGATTCTTAGTAACTTGTACTAAAATCTAGCTAATTTAATTGTATCAAAAATGTATCTTTAGCACTGCCGGAGTTGTAATAACCAAAATTTTGTTTTTCGTTTTTCTCAAAACTAGGTTCAGTGCACATACAACAGTATAATTCTGAGGTGACGAACTGTCAACTGAATATATTACGAACTTAACAGATTTTATAAATGAGCTAAAGGAATTAGAGAAATCCGCGCAATCCTTACTAGTAACCTAGTTGATTGGTACACGGAATAGGGACAGCAAATTGACAGTTAAAACTTAAATGCAAATAATATATTTAAGCACAATATATATCTTAAAAATACAGGGTGTACTGTTCATGTTTAAAAAAAAACTTGTGTACAAGTTCCTCATGGGAAAATAATAGGGGTAGTTTCATGTAAAGTTTTTTTCTTAGATGCCTTGTTTTCGAGATACAGTGTGTTGAAGTTGTTACTTTCCAAATGGTTTACCTTAATTATCTTTAAATCGTCTAAAGATAAAAATGTCAAAATTTGTACACGAGTAAACATCAACTGTACGTTAAGAATAATGTGTAAACAGTTTCTTTCTGAAAAACAGTGTCGCTCATACAGGTCATTGGAGGGGTAGAATAAAAAAAAAAATATGTTAAAAGTCAAAATTTATTACATTTCTAAACGGTTCTGTACACTCTAAAGGATATTACAAAAAAAAGGTATACCTGTCGAAATTCTATGGCATGTACCATTTTCGAGAAAAATAAAGTTGCATTTACTTTGCTCATATATGGCACAAGTACATTAACACAATATTAAATTGAAAAAGTACCTTACGATTGAATGAGCTGAAGACATTTAGCTACCAAAAGTATTTGCATTTAAGACTATAATTTTAATTTGTTATGTATCACATGAAACAGTGAAATTGTAAAACATTTTATTAACTAAAAAAAAATATTTATTTTAAGTTTCAGTTTGTTGTAAACTACCTAATATTTAATAAATGAAACAGATTGTGGTAATTAATTATCTATTATTAACTAAGTTTAGATTTTAATAAACAATTGTTGCATGGACTGGATTGTTGGACACCAATGCTTAAAAAAGTGGTAAACATAGAAAAATATTAGGAAACAGACTGGGAGACATACAGAACAAAACAGCTGCACAATTAAATAAATGTGCAAACATACTACAGTAGATACTGAAATTGTCCCCCATTTCCTTCTATGCAATTTCTTTTTTCTCGAAAAGGGTAAGTACATGCCATCGAATTTTGACAAGTATACCTTTTTTTTTTGTAGTATGCTTTAGAGTTTACAGAACCCTTTAGAAATGTAATAAATTTTTACGTTTAACCTTTTTTTTTCAATTGTACCTCTCCAATTATCTGTATCGGCGACACTGCTTGTCGGAAAAAAATCGTTTGCAAATTATTCTGAACGCAGAGTTGATGTTTACTCCTGTACAAATTTTGACATTTTTATCTTTAGCCGATTTAAAGATAATTAAGGAAAACCATTTGGAAAGTAACAACTTCAGCACACTGTATCTCGAAAACAGGGTGTCTAATAAAAAAACCTTTATATGAACTACCCCTATTATTTTTCCATGAGAAACTGGCACACAAATTTTTTTGAAACATGAACGAGACACCCTGTATATATATCACAAAAAAAATGTGGTGTTTTCAAATACAATTTATAGCTGTTAATTGTGAATTTTTTGATTTTTCAACTTCACTTCAAATTAAATTATAATCAAAAAAGGTTTTTGAAAGGGACCTGAGTTACGGGTAAACCACACCACTTGATTGAAGTTATCGTAGATCTCTATCAACCTATTACTGAGTTTTTAAATCAATTAAATAAAAAAATAATATACAGTGTTTCAAAGAATTTGGTTAACAAAGAATTTTATTAACTTTTGGTTAAACTCTAGGAATTTCGGAACAGTTCACATATTACTTTTTTAATGGTGCCTACCTGTGCAAAATATTCAATAACAATATACAAAAAAAGTTAATTATACAGTTTTTTTTATAGAATAAGTGGAATACAGAAAAACTTGATCAAAATTTAATTCCTTAAGTATAAAGATAAGATAAACATGGCTAGACCCTAGGATCGATTTGAAGTATGTTTTAGTTGCTTTACTTTTACTAAGGAAACACCAATGGAAATCTTAAATGGCATACCCTTTAACGTTAAGTCATAAATCATTTCAACTAATCCCGGAGCTTGAATAATTGGTACATCTTCTTTTGTTGCAATCGATTCCATGAACTTGTTCATGATTCCTATCCTGCTGCGGTAGTATGGGAATTGATAAATATGCACTCAATAAGATCATTCTGTTCTTCTACTGATCAGAAAATTATTGGCTCAAATTATTAAGTACTTTAGATATTTAATACACTTATTTTTGTTGTACAGAAAATAGAAGGCTTTTAAATTTATTTTAACAAAAATATCTTGTAACTTTGTAATTAATTTTGAAAATGAAATATTATATATCATTAATTTTGTATTAAATTGAAATGTTGTCACCGTTTTGAGTTATAATTAACTGTGATTCTTCATAATCACTTCGTTCTCATTTCCTACTAATCGTTTCATGTCAAAACAGTCCTAGGAATCATGAATTATAAACATACCACTGCAGGAAACGACTCCTCTGAATCACAATTTGGTATCATTTCTTTGCAACAATCTGTTCAGAAAAGAGACAGCTCTAATAAATTGTAAAATGCTGTTGCAAATTGTTATACAAATATTAATCACAATTTAGTTTATATTATATTTAATCGGTTTCTTCACTTATCTAGAGTTTTTTAAGCTATTTTGCCACAATGCAAATTAAAAGTGTCGTAAAAAATTTATAAATTAGCAACTATGGCAAAATAATAATAAAAGAAAATTATGTAAAGCAATGTGTCAAATAAATACTTTCAGACAATACGTCCATGCCTCACACATACAATTATTTGCATAAAATGGACGGACAGAGAATTGACTGACTTCTAAATATTTTCTAAAAAAAAACTAGCAAAAAGCAAGTTTTATCAACTCATTTTTAGACAAAACGTGTTACTTTTTAGTTATCGTATTATGTCCGCAAATACTTCCTTTCACTTAATGCTTCATGCAGTGGCATAACTACGGTTGCGCAATGCGTACGGGCCCAAGCCGCAGTGGGGGCCGGCTTGGGCTAAAAAACGCACGCCTATGAACGACGGATTGGTGGAGACAGTCGAACGCGGATGCAGACATCAGTCGCGCTCGCCTATTGCGCCCGTCGGCCTCTCTTCCCGTTTCGTTGTGCAATTTAAAATTATTTTTAATTTTATATAAATTTTAAAATTTATGTATAATTATTGTATATTGAAAATGTATTGTGTTTGTTTGTTTATTTGCAGAAATAAACAGAATCGTTGCGTGGTGACCGCCGTCTAAGAAACCATTGCCTTGAGCGCAAACATCAACCTCGTACCATACAACATATAGCATAAACAAATGACGCAGATCGAAATCAGTTTGTATTTCGCTTCACTTTGTAGCGTTGCTTACAGCGGTTGGCAGCCAACATGCGAATAAACTACGACGTGCGGGAACAAGTAATGCGAAAATTGAGGCAGCATTGGTATCGTCAATCCCTTGCCTTTACTTTAAATAGTTTATACGATACGTCGCCCAGTGCACGATTATAACGGTTCTTTGTTAATATTTGTTTTGTATTAATAATTACAGAAATGTTTCCTATGTATGATCCAGTATGTATTTTACTGGAAACGCCATTTTCCAGATGGAAAATTGAGGACTAAAAGGATTTTTTAAATTGCGAGAGACCTGTGTCTTCTCTCGATGTTGAAAAAAGGGGGAAGTCAAAAGACAAAGTGTACGTTCGGAAGTTTCTAAATGAATGGTATTCGGAGTATAAGTGGTTGTGTGGAAGTGTTTATTTAAAAAAACTTTTCTGTATGCCGTGTTTAATTGTGTTTCTATTTTTTATAAAATCTAAATGAAAATCCTTCTAAAGTGTTTATTTAAAAAAACTTTTCTGTATGCCATGTTTAATTGTGTTTCTATTTTTTATATAATCTAAATGAAAATCTTTCTAAAAATTTCCAGATTCATTTAAAGCCGTTTGACCTTGAAAATTTGAAAATTTTCGCCTGCGGCGCTTTATTCTTCGTTTTAGCTAATCAATAAATATGCTTCACTTATTCCCAATGTCACAAGCCGCAACCGGTAAAGTTTTGACAATAGAGTGAGAAAAAGCCTCAAAATTTAATATTCAACAACTAGTTAATACGTTTTCTATTATTAAGACCCGGAAAGTGCAATTTTAATAATTGATCTGTGATTAGAATAAAGTTTTGTTCAAGTTAATATTCTGACTGTCTTACACCGTATCATCTTTTGGCTAGGTACCATGGAAACGTGGAATTGTCACAATGTCGTAATGGTCAAATCTGTATTTTCTTGTTCTAAATATTAAACTAACACAAATATAACATTTGATTATTTTGCGTGACTTTGTTTTGCTTTTGTCTTTAAAAGTACAATTATTTTGATTTTCACTGTGATAGGATGGAGCTTTATTTTTATTTGTAATAGAATGGAGTTTTACTTTTATTTGTATGGTTTTTATTTATTTTAATTGTTTTTTATATTTATCGAAATAAAGTTATTACAGTATGTACACACATGGAGGTTTATTTTTAATTTAATTTATTTTTGGAATTTCTGGAAGAGAGAGGCCTTTTATATACATTGCGCACGGGCCCAGAGAGCCCTTGCTACGCCACTGGCTTCATGCCCTCTATAATCGGACAGAATAAATTTACTGATTGTGAACTAAAAGCATGTGAAAAAGACATAATTTAAGTGAGTCCTTAAATATTTGTAGACATAGGTAAATATTAATCAACGAAGCAAAGTCAAATTATTAAGGTTGGCGAAGGAACTTAATACATTAATATTTGATCTCTTCATATAAAAAACTTTTGTGTTATTTAAATTATAAAACATTTATCTAAAATAAAATTACTGATATGATTGCTCTTAAATTTACAAGTAACAATATATATTTGTTATGGATTAAACGTACAATTACTGCTGGAGTTATATTAGTAAATATCAGCAATATGTTAACTAAGCATATTCCTTATTATTTATGTAAGTTGTATTAAAAAAAATTTATATAAGCCGATTTCTAGAAATGTACTCACCAGTAATATCTCCACCATATCTTGGTAAAGTGTTGACTACTAATTCAATTCTTTTTTCATCAGCTCCAGCACTGCTTTCAGCTTTACATATGTATAAACCTGCATCTTCTTTATTAAGACTGAAGAATTCTTGATATGCTGAAGTTTGTAATTGTCTTCCTGAAGGTGACTGTAAATTGCTAAAAGAAAGTAATATAAACAATAGTAAACAAATAGCTAAAGCTAGAAGATTATACAGAATAAGTAAGTACTTACTACAAATTTGATTCTTCATAGTTATACTTGGACCAAATAACATTTGGCTGTGGGTTACCAGTTCCGTGGCACTCCAGACGTAGATGCTCGCCCTCATTCTTTTCAATAACATTTTGATCTGGTACAATTTCTATTCTTGGAGGAGTTTGAACTATGATATTTGCTGATCCAGTAACAGTTCCGGCTTCATTTGTGGCAGAACAAATGTATTCTCCTTCTTCACTAGTTGTAATTTGTATAAACCTAAAAACAATATTTTGGTTTGTTTATTGTTTTATTGCTTTTTTAATAATATATCATAGATTTATAAATATAATAGACTTCCAATAATGCTGCATAACATAGCAAGCAGTATAAACAAACAAAAATTTGAAATTAACAAATACAGAAGAAAAATTACAAGAACCGTTATTAAAATTTTTCGAATAGGATTCATTTTAGTGAAAAACTGTCAAAGTCATTTCTGACAGCTAATAACTTGCTTTGATAATTTATTAGTATAGATTACACAGCCCCACAAAAAAAGAAAAAGTATCGGATCTGGTATTCAGATCCATGTATTTCCATGTATTTTTTTCCGTTGAATCCAAATCTGCCTTCAGATTTGGCCTAACGGGTCTGAGTATTCGGGAAAATTAAAAAAACAGGTCAAAATTCACAAAAAACGTCATTTACGATCGATGAAAGTTATAAAAAGTCAAATTATTCCACTAGCTCACTAGACGTATGATTTTTCACTCGCTTAATTCCAATTTATCATCATAGTCAGACAAGCTGGTCCAATTTCATTCAAAAACAGAAAATAGATCAAAAACTCCATTTTCATGGCATAATTCGTGTTGCAGAGTTCTGGATCCATCTTTTTATCCACCCACCCATTTATGAATTCATACATCTTTCTATCCAGTCGTTCATGCATGAATAGGCATATTTACCCATCCACCTATACCACCTATAAAACCCACCCATCCACCCATCTATTCATCTACTTTTTGTGCTGAGAGTGAGATAACAGCCTAGAAGATTGAGAATGCAATAAAACTTGTAGATTACTCTACTTTCTAAACAAAAGAAAACGATATCTACAAATCATTCTCATTTTTGTTGTTATAACGTGTTCTCTTTTCTTCAAAGGATCTATGCAGAGGGTTGCGCTTTCGTTTAGTCCCTCTATGTTTGGTTTCTCTTTTTAACAACCAACAAAAATCGGCCAACATTTGTGATCAAATCTTCCCTGATATCGCTATTCTATAACTTTCATATCCTGATGAGATCGTTCGCCTTGTTCTTCGCTATAATCTCTAAGATTTTCAGGAAACCAATCCAGATGTGAATGAAGGAAGTGTAACTTGCAGTCCATCAAATATCCCAGGTCTTGGAAGTCTTTTATCAATTTTAATACAATTTCTTCGTAATTATGACTCTTGTTGTTTCTTAAAAAAATTGTCACTACAACTTTGAAAGCAGTCCAAGCATTCTTCTCAACGCTACTCATTGTAGTGATGATGTTGCATCCTTGAACAATGTCCGAATCTAAGGTCCATTGAATAAACCTTCTTTCAATTTCGCCTCAGAAATATACGGAAATTTTCGCCCTTTATATATATAGGGCGAAAACTTGCTGGTTGTTAAAACTAGAAACAAAAAATAGAGGGACTAAACGAAAATGTAACCCTTTACATAGATCCTTTGAAGTAAAGAGAATGTGTTATAGCAACAAAAATAAAAATTATTTGTAGATATCATTTTCTTTTGTTTAGAAAGTAGAGTAATCTACAAGTTTTATTGCATTCTCAATGTTCTAGGCTGTTATCTCATCTTTCAGCACAAAAAGTTGATGGATAGATGGGTGGATGGATGGGTTTTATAGGTGGTACAGCTGGATGGATAAATATGTATTAGTGCATGAACGACTTGATAGAAAGATGTATGAATTCATAAATGGGTGGGTAGATAAGAAGAACTCTGCAACACGAATTATGCCATGAAAATGGCGTTTTTAAGCATTTTGATCTATTTTCTGTTTTTCAATGAAATTGGACCAGCTTGTCCGAATCTATGATGATAAATTGGAATTAAACGAGTGAAAAATCATACGTCTAGTGAGCTGATAGAATAATTTGCTTTGATCGTAAATGACGTTTTTTGTGAATTTTGACTTGTTTTTTTAATTTTCTTGAAAACTCAGACCCATTAGGCCAAATCTGAAGGCAGATTCGGATTCAGCGGAAAAAAATACATGGAAATACATGAGTCTGAATACCAGATCCGATACTTTTTGTTTTTTTGAGGGGCTGTGTTATTGAATATACTCACTTTTGGATCTTTGAGTTAATGGCACCATATTCTTTAAATAGTGTTTACAACAATGACAATTTCAAACATTTAATAACTGAAAAATCTAAAGCTTATCAAATAATAGGAATGTTATGTCATGCTATCTGAGTATTTTCAAAGATGCCGCAGTAAAATGAATGAACAGGTGCAGAAAACAATTAAATATCAAGGTTTTAGATACTGAAATCTACGAAAATACTTACTTTTTCATATACAACTCCACATGTAAATATTCTTACAACATTTATTTGCTTAGTCCTACATATAAAATTGTTTGCTTTTATTTATAAGTACATGAAAATAATTCCTAAAATGTGGGATTAGGTTAACAGCAAACGAATGTTTTACAAACACTTTTTTTAAAGTTATTATTTTATTTGAGTAAATTTAAATAGTAACAATGAATAAACAGAACATCAAGGATTTTATTTTTGTGCTTACTTTTGTTCTACACATTTTACTTTCTAAGATTTCAGTACCTAAAAACACCAGAAATTTGACTATTTCTCAGCCAGGGATATGATCACCTTAAATATAAACTTTGAGAATAGTGATAGAATATAACCAATGATACAGACTATCTACTTGAAATACATTTTATAAAAAAATATATACCTAATTACTTATTATAGGTACGTTTGGTTTTCCTTCAAAATTGAGCTAGAACTAGTTTGCATCTCTTATGCGTATAGTTGGTACTCGATCTTAATCTTGAGTATGACTGGACTAAGTCACTGAATTTATGCCCTTAATTAGAGTCGGTACTCAATACCAAACTTGAAAAGGACTTACTTAAGTTATGCTCAGGTCTCATGTACAGCTGAAGTTTTATAATAGAAATTTCGGCAATACTCGCTGGCGGAGTTTGGCCGTTTCGGTCTCACTTTAATAACTTTTGATTTTGCATCGATGGGTAAATACGGGATTTTTCTGTTTCTTAAGTTAGTCAGTGACATTTGCCTTCAGTTTGAAATTTCATCCAAAATAAAAGCAAATGGAATTAGGTTTTTTTAGTTAGAGTTATATTCAAGGGTAAGTTAACTAAAATTTGAATTAATTATAGAAGGGATAACAAAATAATGGCATACACTATCCATGAAAAACTATTTTTGGCTTTATTAGCTAATATGCATATAGTCCAATTAACTAAGCCTTTAAATCGAAATTTTGCCAACTTGGCTGAATTTTTGATATGAGTTAGTTTAAGGTATATTATAACAATAAGTGAGAGTAATTTTTTGTTCAATCCCCGGCCAAGAGTGGAAAAAGATAAAACAAAGGGCTTTTTCAAGATAACTCAAAAAGGGTAAGAGCTAGAAAAAAAAGTTTTTCATGAAAGTTGTAAAGCAGACAATTCTACATAAAAATGGCCTCTTAACTTTTTCTAGTACTATTACAATTAACAGAGTTAGGGAGGCTAGAAGTTAAGGGAAGATTTCAGAAATTTAAAAAAAATCATAACAAACAGAAAAATGATTGAATTTTGTAATTTTTTTTTTCAATCTGCTCTAAAATATGTAACTTTTCTTTTCAGAGAAATAGATATATTTTTTAATTTTTAATAAGAAAGTTATAACAAAAAATCAAATTTTTAATCGTTAATTTTAATGATTTAACAAAATTAAATTTCTGAAATCTTCGCTTAACTTCTAGCCTCCCTAACTCTGTTAATTTTAATAGTACAAGAAAAAGCTAAGAGACCATTTTTATGTAGAATTGTCTGCTTTACAACTTTCATGAAAAACATTTTGAGTTATCTTGAAAAAGCCCTTTGTTTTATCTTTTTCCACCCTTGGCCGGGGGTTGAACAAAAAATTACTCTCACTTATTGTTATAATATACCTTAAACTAACTCATATCAAAAATTCAGCCAAGTTGACAAAATTTCGATTTAAAGGCTTAGTTAATTGGACTAATAATATAATTGAAAGTAAAAGAACTGATTCTGTAACAATTCAAAGAAAATGAAGTAAATGGGACAAGTAGACAGAGGAATGATAGACTTTACTACAAATATTCAGCATTGTTTCAACATTTTCGTCCGCCACAAAACCAATAAACTCCAAATTGCCTTCACAATCCATAACTTACACTTAAACTGTGTTTGTAATTTTGAAAATAGCGTCAAACTTAACCAAGCTTGCTCCAAGGTTAGTCTCTGCCCGACTCGAGTATGGGGTGTTGCAAGATCGCATGGAGTTGCGCTCACGGACGAAGTAGGGACTATAATATGTAATTGTGTACTTAAGTTGTGTTCAAATCTGAGTTCAGCCGAAGTATCGACTATAAGTACGGGCATATTTAGTTATGAGGACATTAGATTCTAGATACAGTTCATAAAATAATTATGTTAAAAATTGCAACCACTTTTTTAAAAGCCTGGCATAAGCAGAACCAAGCCATATTTTTACTTAATTTATTCTATGACCATCAAGACCAGGTGTATTGAGGATTTGTTTATATTGGATTTTGAAGTTTATTTAATCAAGCAGGTAACCCATACTTATTAATTCTTTACATGATTATAACGAGCGTTCAAATAAAAACGTGGTCAAGTTGGTTTTGAAAATTTGGATGTAGGGCGTAGCGTATAGCAAATGAACTTAAACGTCACCTGTCAAAGCGCTATATCGCCGCTATCAATTTGAATATTTTCGTTTTAAAAAGCGTTTAAAATGGTGTTTTCTCAAGAACAAAAAGTGTTTATCATAGAGTCCTACTTTAGAAATGGACGCAAGATTGATGGAATATGGAAGTATTCTATTGAGGAATGTTTCATAGAATTTAAAAATCAATTCCCGGCGTTGTTGAGTACAAAATTTTTCAAAGTGCAGTTCAGCGTTGTGTTAATGTTTTTCGTGAAACGGGCAGTGTAACAAGAAAAGAAGGAAGCGGCCGACCTAAAAAGCGGACTGAAGAATTAAAAGAAAATGTCCAACAAATAATGGAAAATGCGCCAAGAACTTCTGTACGTGTTTTATCACAAATGGTGGGAGTATAAGTCGGTACCTGCCACACAGTGTTAAAAAAAGATTTGCGTTTGTTCTCCTATCGTTTAACTTGTCAGCAAGAACTTCATGAAGTTGATTTTCCGCGACAGGCTGTATTTTGTGAATGGTTTTTAAACAACTACGGTGAACTTCATAATATCACCTTTTTTTCTGATGAAGCCTGGTTTCATTTAAGTGGTTACGTAAACTCACAGAATATGAGAATGTGGTCTTCTGAAAAACGAGATAACTTTTTTGTCGAGGGCCCTCTACACGCTCAAAAAATTGGAGTTTGGTGTGCACTCAATCGAGGGAGGAAATATGGACCTATTTTTTTTAATGGTACTCGTACTGCGCAAAGGTATAGAGAAGAAATTATCGCTCCTTTTGTTAACCAGCTGGAAGAAAACGAAATTACAAACTTTTACTTTCAACAAGATGGCGTAAGGGCACATACGGCAGGCGAGACGATGAATATGTTGAGGAAGTTTTCCAAAATCGACTAATTAATCTCAATGCTGAACATGAATTTCCACCGAGGTCATGTGATATTACGCCGTGTGATTTCTTTTTGTGGCCTTACCTTAAAAACACTATTTTTGAACTGCCTATTCCTGATTTAAACCATCTGCAGGCTCGACTTATAGACAAGATTCGTAAAATTAACAATACCCCGAGCATCTTAGAAAATGTCTTTAATTCTTTGAGGAACAGGTGTGAAAAGTGCTTGGAACAAGGAGGGGGACACTTTCAGCAGCTGCTTTAATTTATTGTTATAACAAGGAGGGGGACACTTTCCGCAGCTCCTTTAATTGTTTGTTATTGTTATCACGATTATTCTTTAAAATAAAGTTATATAGTCATTAACGTTATTGAAACTGACAGCTGCTATGCAGCTCGTTGAGAAATGAGGTTAAGTTGGTCGCTATAAGCTACTCCCTACGTCCAATGTGTCAGAGCCAACTTCGACCACGTTTTTATTTGAACGCTCGTTATGTTTATTTAATTAATGAGGTTTATCTGATTTGGAATCGACCAACAAATATTCATAAAACAATTAATATAAGCTTATTAATATGAAGAAAATCATCAAAAAAAATAATGAGTAGTTTGGATACCTAAGAGACGAGATATTAATAAAATAATTTTTCACTATTTAGTAGTCTTATGAGATTGCAGATTTTTTTGGTCTTTCCACTTAGAATGCGCAATAATTGACGAACAGTTTCCACAGCAACTTGTATAAATAGGAAACCGATATCTAAGGAACCGTATGACAGCTTGTAGAAATCGATTAGGTAATTGTAAGATACATAATTTATAATAATTCTCCTTTAAACTGCTGTCGTTGATTAACTTAACCTCCATATACATGATAGCGGCAATATCGCAGTCTCGATGTAACATATTATTTGAAATTCGCAGGTGTCCAAACAAACAGAATGATCGAACGGAAGCAAGCCAACGCTGAGCCGAGCGCGCCAGCCAAGTGCAACGTTGCCAAATCTAAAAGCTTTCTACTTTAGTAACTAACGAATCTACAGAAACTTTCGTTAGACTTTAGACGGACCTCCGTACCCGATAAACCTCCTTAACTACTAATGCCATTGACAAGCTGTGTAGCGTTTACTGAGTAGTGTTTTGTTTATAAATATCAAAATGATGCCATATATTTTAATGTTACATTTTTTTCATGAATCAATACCAAATACCAGGGAAGCAATATTTATACAAAATAAAATTCTAAAAGGTAAAATTATGGTGTTATCTAGTAGCAATTCAACTGGTTTTTACCAGTTTTCAGATTAATAAGTACTTTAAAAACCACCTTGAATATTTAAATACTGATGAATGTTTGATATCAAACTCAAGGTTCTAAAGCAATAAAATTGTTGTTTTTTGTTTAATTTTTTCTGTATTTGATGGATGGCAGAGGGGGTCCAGTTCCATGGCCACCACGGTCTCCGGATATTACCGTGTTAGACTTCTTTGTGTGGGGTTTTTTAAAAGAGAAAGTTTATGCAACCCCCGTGAACACACAAGGTGAACTTATTACTCGTATAAGAAATGGTTGTAATGCAATAATACCGCATCTAATTAATTTAAATAGATGTATTGTACGTAGGTGCGAGTTGTGCATTGAAAATAATGGTTCCCATTTTGAACAATTTTTATGACTGTTTTTGTTGATAATTTTAATTAGTTTAGTTTTTGGTATTCATTGTGAAAATAAAGTTGTTAATACACGGTGAAAATCTAAACGGCATTTTGATACTACTGCACAGAAGACAAGTCTATTTAAGATTTGTCAAACGTTGACATGAAAACCGACACTAATTAGTCTTTGTAAATTTGTTTATCTGGTGGTTGCAGCAAGTGTATCTGGTATGCAGCTAACAAATAATAATCCATTTGAAGGAAAACACTTTGAAAAATTTTAAAGTAATTTATTATTTATTAAACGGTGCATCGTACAAAAAAAAGTCAAGAGTTTTTTTCTACCAAATTGAACGAGGAATTCAAAAATAACATTAATTTTTAGAAAAACCAGGGACGTACCATTTTTTTATTGGAAAATAGTCACTAACGATCCGCTACTCGCGCCACTGGTGACAGTAAAAGAAACTTTTGCATTGCAAAATTTAAGTCTTCCATTGCTATTGACACCTGTCAAATTTCATTTAATTATCTTAAGCGGTTTAAAAAAAATGTATTTTTCTATTTTTCAGAATAAACTTCAACACCCTGTATTTTCGTAACAAAGCAATTTTGGACTATTGTTTGTATAGCAAACTACGGTTATTTTTGGACGTAGAACATACCCTTAAAGTTTGTCACGAAAAAGCTGGTCCACCCTGTATAATTGGGTTGAGAGTAAACACAAACTTTGGCTCAAATGAATTTGAGGAATGTTGACAGATGTGGAAAATTTAAAATGATAAATGATTTTAAATATATTTTTTACCTTAAAGTTCCTTCAGACATTTGCTCAACATTTGGACTGAAAGGAAGTCTGTTTCCTCTAGCCCAAGTAATTGTTGGTGATGGATATCCTGATATTGGTCTACACTGTAATATGGCACTATTCCCAATAACAACTGTTTGCTGATTAGATGGGTATATTTCAATTCGTGGAAATTCTGCTCCACCTAAAATTTATGTAAAGGAAACCAGTTAATAAAAAAATATATTTATGTCAAACTAATTTTTATCAACTAGTAAACACAGAAATATTCTATTGCGGTGATATGTCTACTTACGAGTCACTTCTACCATTGAAGATGCCTGCTCAAGTCCGAGGATGTTAGTGGATACGCAAACGTATACTCCTCTGTCTTCCATTCGTGCATTTCTGATATACAAAGTAGATCCAACTTGTTCCATATTACTACTCAATTCTCCTCCAAGTCTCGTCCATTTTACTGATGGGAAAGGAACACCAGTTGCAGTACAATGGATTTCTGTAGATTGTCCTTGTGACACAGTCACTCTCTCAGGAGACACCTTTGCGGTCGGATGTACACTGAAAATATGTAAAATATTTAGAGTAAAATATCCGACTTATCCCCATTAGATTATCTCTAATGGGGATACCTAAAGCCAAAAGCACATTCAAACAATTTTGATGATAACATTGATTTACTTAAGCAAAAAATTCAGGAAGTGGTTGCCACTATAAACGAAAACATGGTCTCGTCTGCATACAAGTCTAGAAAAAAAATTTAAAAATGTGTATTACTTTGAGGTTTATAAATTGAGTAGGACTTGCTTTGTAATTGTTCCAGCTCCAATTTGTTATTTCTGTTATGTGGTTTGCAGGCTACTGTGACAGTTCTTAAACAATTTCTTGGCCGGTTGCCATGTTGTCTGTTTAGGTTTCTAGACGTTTTGAGAGACATATTGCTCTTTTCAAAAACTCGAAAACTTTCACAGTTACTTCTGAGGGAGAGAGCGATATGTTGCTGGAAATGTCAAGAAACCTAAATCAATTGCATCTACAATGATTTTGTGCATGTTTATCTATGTATTGCTCCGTTTCTTATGTAAAAAATAAATGATTTGATTATCCGTGATTTTCAATTATCCGTGCTGCGCTCGGTCCCGTAGATGACGTATAATCGGGGTTCTACTGTATTTGATTACTGCCCATGGCTTCTCAAGATAAGCAAAACTAGTTACTAAGAATAACTTTTTCTCGAAAAATTAACAATAAAAAAGTTTACAAAAGTGCAGTATCCCATCTGGGAACACATTGTATGAGGGGTATAGATGCAAAACCTACCACTTTTTAACATTTTTCAGGAAGAAGGAATAACTGATTTCTCACTTTTCAAGTGACTTAAGGCACTGAATTTTTTTTGGTATTTGTATTAGAACTTTAAATTTGCTTCTTAATTGGTGAAATAACAGCACAACAATATTTGACTCCAAGAAAGTGAATTAAAGTTTGGGATATAATGTGCGTTTTTGGATAACGGTAGTTTTGCTCCAAGTTATTCTACATAATAGAAAAACATGGAACTAACTATCTAGGAAAGCAAAACAATAAGAGAAGCAAAACTCACGTTCTCCTTAGGCAGTCAGCCATATTCGTTTATCGCTTTAAGCTTTTTCATTGGTAGATATGGATAATGTGAGTTTTGGCAACTTCAGATCGTAGGAGAATGTGACTTTTGAAACAGTTCACAGATTTCACAATTTAAAAATAAATATGAACATATTAGTATGTACCACTTCTAAATTTTAAAATGGTGTAGTTCAACACGATGAACAAGATAGCGTCACTAATTCTATTTCGAAAAATTATGGATAATGTGAGTTTTGCATCTATATCCCTCGTATATTAGAAAATTTTTGTTTTTTTTTTTTGTTTCATAACCATCCGTTAATAAGAAACCCTTCTGCCCATACAGCACTCTGAAAAAAAGGTGTCATTGCTTGCCATCACCAACAGCTGCCATTTTGAATCCAAATCATTTGAAAAAATTTACAATACTACCTGAAAACATGTTCAATAAAATCTTTTTTTCATGATACCATATTTGTATCAATTTTTCCTTGAAAATTTCTGAAAATAACTATTTCTTCCAATCTCTAGAGTAGCGTTACCCCTTAAATCATTTGAATTCATAAAATCAACCTGTTTTGACATCCTTTTGGCATAAAAGGTTATTTTAAATTTTTTATTTTCAGTGGCAAAAATAAAATCAAATAAAATGAGTAAAATAATTTTATTTCTTCCTATATGTTACTTTCATTGAGATTCCAAAAAACATCCATTCTTGTGAAGCAAAATCCAAATTCTTAGCACATTATCCTCATTCATTCACATATATTTTATACCATCCATTGTTTAATATATTTTAAATATGTTCAATAGCACCGAGATGATGGTTAAATAGAATAAATTACATCTACAATGACATTATTATTTCTTGTGTATTCTATAAATGCACAAAAAAGGGAACTCAAGGGACTGGGGAACACAAAAATACCCTGTAATTTTTTATATTCTAGTAGTCCAGACGGTATCTGTTTCAAAACGTCCATATTTGGGTGAGTTGTATATCCACGGAGATTTTTGGCTTTTGGCTTTCAAATATCACTAGAAATGAAAATTTTTCTATGCTCATAAAAAAATACGTGACCTTAACTTTTGGCGGCACAATATGTTAAAAAAATTCAAAAAATGTCATATTTTTCTTCCTATCAATCTGTTTTTTTTTTAAACAAGCGTCTTTCCAATAACTTTTAAAACCTGCTTTAATTTGATTTGATTTGATTGAATATCCACAAAGTTATTGTAATTGGTTATATAAGTACAAAAATTCAACCAATGTTTAAACAAGTATCAGAGCTTTCCTAATTGACGATTTGAATTTTTCAAAAAGCGTTTCAAGGCTTGAGAGCCCTTGTATATGCGATTAAATTTTCAAATATCTAAGGGCTTTGGTTTTTACTGTGCAAAATTTTGAAAATTTGCAAATTTTTTTTTTAAATCTGGATTGCAAAATTATTATGCAAAATCTATAGAACCGATTTTGATGAAATTTGGTGTGATGATTCTTCATAACATATGAAGTTTTCTTGAGCCAAGTATGAAGGTCTTATACCCAATTTAGAGACCCCAAAAAAATTCCTTAGAAAGTAATGTTTTTTTACCCCATTTTTTCGATTTTTACAATAATAATCATGATTCATCCTATTTGTAACTAGTCATATTTTGTAAAAAAATTAATTACAAACATTTTTTTCCTCTTCCATTTTCGTCTAAAATCAACTCTTGAAAAGATACATAATAGGAAGAAAAATATGACATTTTTCGAATTTTTTTTAAGATATTGTGCCGCAAATGTTAAGCCCACGTTTTTTTTATGGGCATAGAAAAATATTCATTTCTAGTGATATTTGAAAGCCAAAAAGCCAAAAATCTATGTGGATATACAATTCACCCAAACCAAAACAGATATCACCTAGTCTAATACAAATAAATAAAAATTCATACCAACTAAAAAGTCTTCCAGTTCAAACAGTTTTAAAATTATACATTATACAAAAGGTTAAGGGTATGTTTGTATAACACAGTTAGTTTATTTTCACTTGTTCTATCTGCTTCTGAAATTATCAAGCTGAAATTTGTTATCTGCTGTATTTAATTAGAATTTTGAAAAACAAGCTTGTGAATAATGTGTATAATTTAAAATATTAATAAAAGATATATGGTAGGTGCAAAGTGTTGATTGTATCATAATTTTTCTCGATGATCAAAAGATTAATTTCTTACCTCCCGCCATTTCCTTCTCTAATTGTAACTGTTACTCTACTGCTGTTTCTTGTACCAGAGTATGCCGTAGCGGTGCAGATGTAAACTCCAGAATCCTCTACACCAGCATTAGGAATGGTTAACATGCCTCTGTCCTCCCTGGAATCGTATGGAAGTTGGCCACCTTGCTTAGACCATCTCAAGCTTTGTATATCTTCAGTAGTCCTACATCTGAACATTACTGTGTCACCAGTCTCTCCAGTATAATATGTAGGTTGTATATCTACACCAACTTTAGATAAGTCTGAAAGCACAGTAACCTGGAACCTGGCAGAAGTAGTTCCTGCTCTATTAGTAGCAATGCATTCATAATCTCCTTGGTCAGCTGACGTTGCTCGATCAATTCTGAAAATTCCATTTTCGAAACGTTGCTGTAAACAAAAAATGTAAGTTTGATGACATGATAATGTATTGTTAAGTGAAGAAAAGTGAAAATATATAAAACAAATTAATACTACTTATAATAATTACCATAGGATTCAGTGGTCGATTATCCAATCTAATAAGTCGAAGATCTGGAGAAGGAATACCTCTAGCAGCACATGTCACTTCAATTGGTTCACCTTCCTTTACCTCAATATATGAAGTAGAGAGTGCTATCCTAGGCCGTTGATCTTCAGGTCCTACATGGAAAAAAGATACTTATTTGCTAAATAGATATTATTAGTAATTAAAAACTAAACATTATAAATTATTAATTATTACCTGTATGATTCAGAGCCTTTAAAAGTTTTACTAGAGTAGCATGGAAATAATAGAATTATTTAATTACAGCAAGGATTAAAAAAGAAAAACTAGATTGCAAGAAAATTACATAATTGAAGCAGTGGCAGCTTGCAAAAATTAAAGTGGTCAGCTGCCAGAGACGCAAACCTCAAGGGGGCGCACTCGCAGACCAGCAGCAGGCTGCTGGGGCATGTGCACATTAAGCGCTTATTAATTAACTTAAAGTTATTGTATTGTAATTTTGTATCTTATGCTTACATGTAGATATACCCTAAGTTACACTTTAAAGTTATTGTATTGTTTCTAGGGTTTCTGATTTCTCGGCCTATTTTTTTTCTCGGGTCTCGAGAATTCTCGACTAGGAATTCCCGGGAATTCTCGAATTCTCGAAAAATTTCTAAAACTTGAAAAAGTCATAATTTTGGTATTGTAATGCGAAATGTAAACATGCTATTATACTTAACAATCATCATTAACATTTATTATTTATTCAGTATTTTTATTAATTACTTATGTTTCTACTTTTACTAACAAAACTAAACTAAACTTTGAGTTTCTTCTTAAAAACCTTAAACTTGTTTTTTTATTAAACACTTTCAATATACTTATGTTTATTTCAATGTTTTTGAATCGTAGTTTTCTTGCAATAATAATTATTAATAATCATTAATTAATCATTTTAATTAAATAGTTATCGCCACGGTAGCGCAGTCGGTCGAGTGTGCGGTGGCAAGCATTTCTCGGCTAGGCTTCCTACTCTGGTCCGGGTTCGATCCCCGGTGTCGGCACTGGCAATGTCGATGGATAATGGGTGTTTGTCCGTGTTTTTTCAAGTGTAGCCCCCTTCCGCACAAGCCTTTGGCTTTTGGATTTGGGGGTTGTCTCATTTCTGTGATGTGTTTTATGTTTATGTTTAAAAATAAATAGTAAATAAGGAATTAATTCGAAGAAATCTTAAAAAAAACAAGCTTTAATTTAAAGATACATAAGCGTTCTTCTTATTAATTTATCACTTCAATATTAGGTATTACAACAAACCCTATATGACTATGCTCGACAAGGAACATTCTATCCAAATATGTAAAAATATACAGGGTGTTCCATTTAAATTAACAAAGTTAACATCCGCGGCCATTTTATTTGAACTTCATTTGTTTTTCTACTATCATTTTCGAAAACTTCATAAAAAATCGTGCAACTTTTGTATTTCACATTTTTTTATAACTCTTAAAACAAAAAACTTAAAGGGGGGTCAAAATATAATGAATCTCCCTGTACATTAAAAAAAAGAATCATCAAAGCCTTAAAAATTTAAAATAAATAAATCATGAGCTGGTAGAGAACCGCTCAGTTATTTGTCAAGAAATGAATTAACGCATGAACGAAACGAACTCCAGTCAAGAACTTAAGACGCGCCTGATTTTTAAATTTCTCGATTTCTCGATTTCTCGACACTTTTTTCTCATCTCGAGTAAGGCCAGATTTCCCGGGAATTCTCGCTTCGAGAAGTCTCGACCAAAAACCCTAATTGTTTCTCTTCCTACAAAATAAGTTTGAGGGGCCGCAAAATTCAAATATTGCCCTGGGCACTTGTGATCTTAGCTGCGACACTGATGACCACTATAATTTTTGCAAACTGACACTGAATTAAAGAATTGCTGGACATGTATGTAATTTTTTTCTATTTATTTGCGCATTTATTACTCAAACTCTTGCAACAAAAGGATCAATTAAGGATTACTTTATGAAACGACTAAATCATGCACTTAATTAACATCTTGAAAAGTGAATGAAAATTATCAAACATATTGAAAATGGGAAATATTATTCTTAGTTTTGGGAAACAAAATTTTCTCAAAACATTACTAACTAAAGTGCATGATTTAGTTGTTTCTTTTATATATTTTTTTAATTTTTACCACAAGTGACAAGATATCCAAATGAATAGAAAACTAGGCTATGCCAGCAAAAAAATAATTTTTTAATAAAGTATTTATTTTCTATCTAGCAATAGTACTTACCTCCTACAATGACATTAACAGTCTGTGATACAACAGTAAAGCCATCAGTTGCTTGACACACGTAACTTCCAGAGTCACTTATTTTTACATCAGTTATGACTAATAAACCTCTTCCATCGTCAATAGCACGGGATGGTAATTCTCCGTCGGCTTTACTCCACCTTATTCTCACAGTCTAAAATAAATATGTAACATAGGTACATATATTTTAAAAAATAAAATTTTTGACTGAAAATATGTAGGGTCTTTTTCTTTTTTTATATTTTTCAAAATATTTACTTAAAATATTGAAAACTCATTTCCTCATCTTTTGTTTTTTTGACCGATTTGCTCAAAAAAGGGATACAAAATATATGATGACCTAAATTATTAGAATTTGCGTATTAGAACTGTTTTTCTAGCAACTGTAGTCAAAATACACAATCAATTTTATCATTTCTGTATGTATGCCAAGGGCGTCGCCAGCCAATGGGCTGGGGAGGGGTGCAAAATAAGAGAGAGGATGGGAGAACTATAAATTATAGGTAGAAATAGGTAGTGAATTAATATTTTTAGAAATATTTTTAATACAAAAAAAAAAAAAATATATACACAAAAAAAAAATAAAGAAATTCAACGAAAATTATGTAAAATGTAATCTTATCGGATTTTTTGAAAATTTGTCGGACACATTAATAAAATCGTGGTTGCCAAAAATAAGCTAAAAATTAGTGATGGGCGTTATCAAATAAAAACTATTAAATTATTCGATATTTGCAGGTTATTCGAATTATTCGATAGCGACTAATACTATTCGAATAAAAATCGAACAAACGAATCGTAGTTACATTTACGGCATGCGCGGCATTGGTGCAGTCTTGTCTGTCGTTGTTTACAGATATACACTGAATTTACCGTTTGCTGCTACTTTTTAATAAATATTGTTACAAATAAAAACAAACTGTATTATTCAGCAGAATGAAAAAAGTAACAATATACAGTTTCTTCAATATTTTAAAACCCGACGACATTTGTTTAATTGAACTAAAATTTGAATGAATTCGTTCATCGTTTGAATAAAATCATTCATTACTAATTTAATTCGATAGACAAAATATGTTAATCTTACAAACGAATGAATACCTTCCAACACATAACAATCGTTATCGGCCGTTCGTCTGAGAATGAAAAAAATATTTATGACTAAATAAATTTTATAATTCAACATTAATATAAATAGGTAATAGATAAAAACAACAAAACTTGAATATTTAATTATAATATTTAATTTCATTAGGGACGGTGATGATGGTATAACAGCGCTGCATTCACCTTTGTGCAGCGATCGATAGCACTCGATATCAGTCGCAGTCAAGAAGCACGCGTAGTTGTCTAAGCAACGGCGGTTAAAAGTAGTAATGAATGATTTTATTCGAATGAATTTATTCGATATACTATTCGTTTAGTAATTATTCGATAGTAGAATTCATTCGATAGTGCCCATCACTACTAAAAATAATAAACGTTTTTCATTCCACCTATATAAAATTGGTGCGTTACATATATAGCTTTAATTGCACAGTTAAACTTTTATTATGATTCCGATAGATAAAAATTTATATTTTTAATTTATAATTCCAGAGCTAAATTTTTAAAATATGGAAATGTATTACTTTTTAACATAAAATTTTATATTTTAAAATTCTTTTGTCAACAAATATTTATACTAATTTATTACAATTGTTTTTTAAAAAAAATAAATTAGTGTATTAATTTTTAAAATTAAAGTCACCCTTGATGTATACAAATCCAGTTTGTAAATCCAGTGTATTGTACATTTATATTTAAGGATTTCAATAAAATTTGATAAACAAAAACATAATCATTGAAATTATTGACTCTATTTGTAAGAAAATAACCCGATTAGGGAGAAAAAGAAATCTAAGAAAAATATATTAACAATTTGTCACCCTATTAACATGTAGTTTTAATGTGGATTTAATTATACTCACCCTAGGGGCTACTCGGGATGTTGCTGTACAGTTGTACCTTACAGTACTGCCAGTTTCATATATGCTGATGTCGTGATCAATAATTTTAATATCAATAGTTGGTGCATCAGGGGAGGGGCCTGGTGGAGGTAATGTTGTTGTGATCGCTAAAAATGTTGTAATCTTAGTTTTATACATAATAAATTTAAAACACCTCTGAGATAGAAAAAGTGTAGCCTTAATAACTGAAAAAAAGATTAGCAAATAAAGAATTACTGCATTTTTCACATTCGAAGTAAGATTTTATTTCTTTAATAGTGTAAGAAAATATCTATATTTCACATATATATAAAGAAATGAACAAAAGTACTAAATATATGCAAATTTAGTAAATATATTCGGTATAGGTTAAAAGCAAATTTTCATGTGATTAGAACTTCAACATAATTATTATATTTGTAGTTTAAGTACTACTATACCCAAACAATATATTTTTATTAGTACATGTTTGTATCATATAGGTATACAGGGAAAGTTTGTTAAGAACACAACTTAATGGTAGAATATGCTATAATCAAATATTCCTTCAGTCTACATAATGTCAATGTTGAAAGGACCAGCTATTATGTTTTTTTTTTTGAGGCAAATATTTCAATAATTGTATTCATTTTGTGCTCATTGTGGAAGTTAGTTACATTTTTCTGTTAGAATAAGTAAGAATATAATCCAACTTGAAACTTACAGTTTATTTTGACATTTTTATTTGGTTTTTGATATACAAGTAAATGCTTTTCAAACATTTTACTTACATAATACGCTTAATATATCTCGTCGGCACAATAATTTTCTTAATATCAAATCAACTGACAATGGTACTGTGGTACGTTATTCAAACACAAATAACTTCAAAACTACCTACATTGCACATTGAAAAAATTAATTTATTAGAGCAATGAAAACGGCATTAAGGAAAAAATCTAATTAAGCTGCTAAAAAGTGCAGGTAAGCGCCTAAACAAGAAATTTTTCAGTACATTTCAACAAAGTGTAATGGGATGTCGAATAAGTTCTCTGTATTTTTGTGAAAATTAATGCTTTATTTAAAAGAATTAGTAAAAAGTCACTGAAGGTATCGTCCATCGTTAGCTACTTCCTTTTCCCATCTTTCTGGCAGCATTTTAATTCCATGTCAGAAAAGCAACACATCTTTTGAGGCTATTTGGTAGTCGACCCGTTTTTTGACATCCTCATAAAAATGGAAGTGCTGTTCAACCAGGCCATGTGCCATTGAATCAAAATTTTAACAATTTTGTATCAATATTATCAACAACTTTACAACAAACTTGGTAAATTAAAATGCTGCGTCGCAAAGTTGTTGGATGATATATGATATCTATACTCTTTTTAGTAATCTACGAGCAGGAATTAAAAGAGATATAAGACAGAGTTACTGCAATTACATTACAAATATTGAACAACAAATAACAACTAGGTAATCCAAATATGTCCTGGTCTTATTTAAATTAAAAGAGGAACATGCTGATATTGTTCTAGATAGTCTGGAACAAGTGATCAAAGAAACACAGTTAATCGAACTGGCATCATCTAAAGATAAATGTTCAGAAGCAGACAGTTGTCCTCCTCCTCCTGACATAAATACTATTAAAGATAAATTTTCGTTCCAATTCGTGCAAACTGAAAGGCTGTAAAAGCAAAAAAACTGTAGAAGACGTCAAATACTCTAAAAATCCGCCTTGTGCTGTATTAAAATGCGAAGATAGTAAGGAGAAGAATGAACACAAGAAAATATGATTGTAGCAAAGCAACAACAATCAAGAATGAAATCTTTGTGATATTAAAAAACCAGCATCTAGGAATAATAGTACGCTGGATTGTGCCCAGTTAAGAAAAGACAGGGAAAGTAAGAGAGAAGATGACATTTGTCTGCCGTCTTTCCTTGGAAAGATCAAAATAAAAAAAATAATAAAAAATGTTGACTATCTGCCTTGAAGAAATAATACCTTGAAGCCTAATAATACAGCTGAACCTGATGGCTTACTGGCTTTTCTTTTCAAAGATTGTACTCCAATATTTGCTAAACCATTATACATTTTAACCTATTCCTGAAGGTAGGTAAATTTTTATGGATGTTTTATGTAAGTACTTTTTATATCTATATTTTTTTATGTATGCAATTTTTATCAATTGTATTTTTGTACCTACTAACTGGTGCTGTATGTAAAAATAAAAAATGAAATAAATAAAGTATAACTTTGTTGCAAATTTATCGCAAATTTGCCATAAAGATTTGCATAACCTTACAGTTTATTTTTAAATTGTTGACAATGTTGCAGCAATTTTATTTTGCTTAGTGGGCTACAATTTTAAATTCCTCCCTCTCAAATCAATTTATTGCTTGGCATTTAAATCTTACTTAACAGTTTAGTGGTATGTATGGTATATAAAACTTTTAATCAAAATTTTATTTTTTTTTTGTATTACATTGACCACCAGTAAAGTGTAACTAACTACCACTCTGTATTGGTGAGCACGAAATTAATACTATATTTGAAATATTCTATCTGAAATGTGGATATTGACTCAATTACTTTATTTACTTCAAGAATTTACCATTAAGCTAAGTGCCATTGTAAATCAATTATTATATTATTGCCATCTAAGTAGTTATTTACGTAATCAGTTTTTAGAAAAAGATTTTATGTACTGAATGTGATGTTTGCATAATGAGTAAAAAGAGATATACGATGACTGATCAAAAGTAATGGGAATTGTTAATTTTTATCTTTAATTTGTATCACATTCCGTTCAAAGTGGTTCTCTTATATTATACAGGGTGTTTCAGGATTAAGTCGACAAACTTTAAGGATATTCCTCATAAAAAAAATATAAAATATACATGATTTTTCCTAATTTTAATAAAATATTATTGATATAAAACTTAAATTCTCATATAATTCATCAAAGTTTAAAGGTATTAATTTAATTAAGTAAAATCACTATAATACCTACATCATTTTTGATAAGCAATTTAAAACTTGTTTTGATTATAAAAACTATCGTTTTATATGATAAAATAAGAAAAAAAAATTATTAAGGCTAACTAAATCTCTTCAGAATATATCAACACGTTACTACGAAAACATGCTATCTCAAATTTGGCTTAGAAAATATGCTATCTAAAATTGTACTTGGACAATATGCTAGTTCAGATCTTTAAGAAAAAACATGCTATTTCACACAAAATTAAATTTTACTAGAAATTAAGTTGGCTGCATTGATTGGCGTTGAAATGCACATTGAATGATTGAAATATTGAATTTTTAAAAAGTAAGGAACATTTATGTTCAGGTACACTGTCTATTTTATTTGTTTCATTCAACATTTTTCAATTAATTTTGATAACTTACTGTTATAAATTGTTAATTAAAAAAATAGAATCATAATTATCAAATAACAAATTATAAAAAATAGTGTATATCTTAATATATAAAAATGTTAATTATTACTAAAAATTATTCGATTTTTTTCATACAAGTTTGCTTTGATATAAAAATTAATAGCGCACTCTTATCCGATTTATAGAAAAACATATCATTTATTCATAAAATTTCATTATTAGAGTTAACATAATAACGAGAATATAAATATAATGTATAAAGTTGAATGATATGTACGATAAACATGTGTATGGGGAACCGTGGAAACGTGCACGTGCATATCATCTGCTCTGGATCTGTCACATCGATATCCAGCAGATCATAAAGTACCGGTAATAAAAGTGTCGCATACCTGCATTTCATTTCCAAAGTCTATGCAAGCACGGGACTACTGTACCTTTAAGAAGCCATTTGTTTTTATTGAGGTGCAATAAGAACGATTCAGACCCGGAGTTTGGCGCCTAGCCTGGTCCACTATATAATCCTTTTTATTGTAGTCTCCTGAGAGTCCACATTAGGAATATATTATTATTTTCAGAATAAATATTGCATCCCACATTTTGTGAAAAAAAAAAAATAAGTGTATCAAGAGTATAGTGACTATAAATCAGGGAAGAGTGTGCTATTAATTTTTATATCAAAGCAAAAATTAAAAAAATTGAATAATTTTTAGTAATAATAACCATTTTTATATATTAAGATATACAATGTTTTTTTTATAATTTTTGTTATTTCAAATAACGTCAAGTAATGTAAGTCTTGCAGCATACTGCATATTATTCTATTTTTTTAATTAACAATTTTGTCATTTATAACAGTAAGTTAACAAAATTAATTGAAAAATGTTGAATGAAACAAATAAAATATACAGTGTACCTGAACATAAATATTCCTTTTTGAAAAATATATTATATAAGTTTATTATAAGTGCATGGTTTCAATCATTCAATGTGCATTTCAACGCCAATGCAGCCAACTTAAATTTCTAGTCAAATTTAATTTTGTGTGAGATACCAAGTTTTTTCTTAAAGATCTGAGCTAGCATGTTTTCCAAGTACAATTTTAGACAGTATGTTTTCCAAGCTAAATTTGAGATAGCATGTTTTCATAGTAACGCGTCAATATAAGTATGTACTCGTCCAATCAGAAATAACATTTAAATACTGTCATAACAAAATATTCATTCAAAGAATAGAATTATAAGAAATATATTACAGATAATTTTCTTAGTTTTTACTATGATAAAAATAACGGACTATATTCTAGTGTTATTAAGATGAAGACAATGATGTTAGTTTTATTAGTGATAATTACCAGTCCCAAAATAGGTTTTAATAGTATCTTTTACTATATGTTTCTACAAATATAAATATTATATCACAAAGTTATTAGCTGACAAAAATATACTTCTAAAACAAAGTCTTTAAAAGTATAGGCAAATATTTTCTATAGTCAAACACAATGAGAACATAAAATATCACAAAAAGCATTTTTTACTGTGATTGTATTTGACTCAAACCTGGATATACAAATACATTAATAACTCCCACTTGATGACCTTGTCTATCATGCAAAATGCATCTTATATTTTGGCGATTACAGCCCACTACATGGTAAAACAGCATTTCAGCTCCACCAGGATATCTCTTTTCTTTATAGTCAAAACTATTTAAGCTCTCAATGGTAATGTATAGATCGGTCGATGACTGGCTTCGGTACTTACAAACGAATGGTATTTGAGTACCTACCGGTGCGGCCACATGTGAGGGTAACATTTCCATTTCAATACCCAATGAGGCATTAATTGTGGTATTTGACTTGACTGGTATTGAAAATATATACGTATAAGAAACATATTAAGCAGAAATCATGCATTATTTTATTGAAGCTTCTACTTTTATTTGCACCAAAATGACCGATATATTACATATACAAGATGATTTCTATATCTGTGTCATAACTAAAATCATTGGTTTGAAAGTGCATTGAAAGTGTTAAAATTTAAAAATAATTATTCTTGTGACAAGTACATAAAAGCAAGTGTTCTTGATGTCAAATTATATGTACGAAACAAAGCCGAAGACCAGGTTTAACAACATATAAATTGTAAAAAACAACATTTTGCACAAATTAGATACAATATTTTTTCTGCATTTATATTTTAGCTTAATTCAAAAAGGGACTTTGGTCCATTTTCTTTTTATCACTTATGCCCCTTTGTAAGATCAACGACGATATACAGTATATATCGCTTTAGACTACTGATTTATTAAGACTCTTTGGTAAAATAACTTACGAATCACGGTGGGCTTGAACATGACTTAAATGCGAAGTTTTAGCACCACCGATTTTCTTTCGGCATTCGATTCCTGGATTCATAATTAGGCCAGAAAAAAAAATCCACCGTAATCCTTAGAACCGTTTTCTGAAAAACACGCTTTTTCAACGAAGAAAAATTCACTGTTCGAGATATCGGGATTTTTCTACCTTTCGCTCACTTTTAGTTGCCAAACTTCCCCAATTTTACTAAAATGACGTTTTCCTGAAAGTTTTACACTAGCACACAAACATTTACAAGCATATTTTTCAAATTGCCTCTTTTACTAAGACCGGAGATAATCATTGTCAATTCTCAGAAACAGGTAAAAATAGAAAAAATTTGAAAGAATGATTTTTCATTCAAGTGAGTTTTGCGGTAGTATGTCAACAAGCGAGAATCATGTCATTTATTTCCATCCTTGTTTGATTTGCGAGGTCATTGAACTATTGCCAACCCCCACCCCCGATTGTATATTTACGTTTTGTGATACTCCAGATCGAATGATCAATATTATTCGTGAAATTAGTTGGAACTCCAGATAGTCTTCGACCCTTTGACTGTGAAGTTGCCCAAGTATTCTTCTCCAAAATTTTGAACTCTGTATAGTCCGGCAGGGCTATTTTCCTGATACTTCCACACTTCACTGACCGATATAGGATAATTTTGCAAGCACTACATAAAACATTGGGAAAACGTTCATCCTGTTCAGCATAATTCACACATTTTTTTAGATTCACAAATAAACTACCACTGATTTTGACCATTTGTTTCTTCTTCTGCAGGCAGAGAAAATATATCCGCTCCTGATTTTCTTGATGGGTTCCTGAATGATCCTTTGATCTTCTGTCCATACTTTCACAAGAAATTGAAATTTCGAAGAGAACAATTACAACTTCACAGTCAAAGGGTCGAAGACTATCTGAAGTTTTAACTAATTTCACGAATAATATTGATCATTCGATCTGGAGTATCACAAAACGTAAACAAACAATCGGGGGTGGGGGTTGGCGATAGTTCAATGACCTCGCAAATCAAACAAGGATGGAAATAAATGATATGATTCTTGCTTGTTGACATACTACCGCAAAACTCACTCGAATGAAAAATCATTCTTTCAAATTTTTTCTATTTTTAACTGTTTCTGAGAATCGTCAATGAGTATCTCCGGTCTTAGTAAAAGGGGCAATTTGAAAAATATGCTTGTAAATATTTGTGTGTTAGTGTAAAACTTTCAGAAAAACGTAATTTTTTGCCAAATTGGAGAAGTTTGGCAACTAAAAGTGAGCGAAAGGTAGAAAAATCCCGATGTCTCGAACAGTGAATTTTTCTTTGTTGGAAAAGGGTGTTTTTTCGAAAACGGCTCTAAGGATTATGGTGGATTTTTTTTCTGGCCTTCTTATGACTCCAGGAATCGAATGCCGAAAGAAAATCGGTGGTGCTAAAACTTCGCATTTAAGTCATGTTCAAGCCCACCGTGGAATCAGTCTACTGAAGTTATGACAGTATTAGAAAACACCCTGCATAGTACTGCCAATATTAGTAATAATTATAAATCAATTTTGTCTTCTGTTATGTCCAAATATAAAAAAATATCTAGTCAGCATTAGATATAAAACATCATGAAACAAAGACTAAGAGTTACGATAATGTGCATACCTGCAGCCATGTTATAATATCTTCTGGAGGCTAAATACTGATTTGTGCATTATTGTACTTTGATTGTAAGATACAATCAAAGTGAATACTATAATAAAGTAAGTATCATATTTTCCCATTTTCCCAACAAAGATTTAAAAATCTGGGTTGAGCTTATAGACATGAAGGTATACTTTACACCAAAAATTCTTGGGTTTGTACATGACGTTCAGACGTGAAAATTATTCATCAAATGATTAATAAAGCAGCTGTATCTAACAAATTTTTACCAAATATTAATTATAATCCAATAAAAAGCTATATTAAAATTCCCAAATAATATTGATAAAACTGAAGAGTTTGCAATTATTGCTATTAAAATTATATTTTTATTAATTGTATAGGTGATCATAAACCCTTAGCAAATCGATTTTACTTCATGGAAATATCATATCCTATAGTCTTTGTGTCATGGTAAAACATTAAATTTTTACAATATACAGGGTGTGGCTTGTATAATCTATAAAAATTATACTACAGCTTCCTAACGATATTTGTAATAGAAAAGTCTTATACGAAAAAGTTATATTTTTGCGTTTTTTTTTGTCATAAATTAAAGTTCAATTATGGATCAAAATATTTTCTCTGGAACGGTCCTGTATGTGTGCTGTACGATGAGTTACGTGCTGTAGACCAGCTGTGTAATAAATGGTCGTTGAAAGATACTTCTCAATTTTTGGGGAATTTTTCAATGAAAAAGTACAATCGAAGAAAAATAGATATTAAAAAAATTGATATTTTCTTATTATAATAATTAATAGTAATTACTATCTTAAATACATTGTTGTTACTGCAAGAGTTCGCAAACAAAACCACATCCATACGCATGTGTAGTTACCAACTGTGTGCACTAAACAAACTCCATTAAAATATGGAACAAAATGAAATAAAACTTACCATTTCTAGAGAAAATGTTGAAATTGAACCCCATTTGCACGGATACAGGCATAGCACTGACACACCCAATTTTGACCGATATGTTACATATACAAGATGATTTCCATATCTGTGTCATAACTAAAATCATTGGTTGGAAAGTGCAATATAGTCGCCGCGAGCGCATTTTCTCCGGTTCACTATACACTAACACCATATCGACACATTCGGAAATAGTAAATGCATTGAATTCTCGGTTCATTGTAAAATTAGTTTGTGCACAAACTAAAAAATTAAGCAAAGTAAGAAATAAGAATCTCGATTTTAACGTAATCGCCACGCTAATCTTATTTTTTACTTCTTTATAAAAATTACACTGTCACTATCGTGGAATTACAAAAGAAAAACTTTTGTCAGGAATCTTTCACTTTTTAACACTGATGGGTCGATGGATTAATATTTAATAATTAAGTGAATAATGAATTCAATACGAATACAACATCAGTTGACTGCACGAATTTTTTGACAATGTAACCTAACCTTTTTCCAGTATTACTGGTATTAGATTATACCGACTTAAATTATAAGGTTGCATCTCGGGTCGCATAAAAATATTTCCAAAGATCTTAATAAATAACACAGGGTCGACCTTCATTTTCATTGAATAAATGAACTTCAATTTACAAAAAAAAAATGCGAAGATGGAACTTTTTCGTATAACAGTTTTCTATTATAAATCAGGAAGCAGTAGTTTAATTTTTATAGATTATACACGCCACACCCTGTATGTGTCATAATTATTAAATAAAAGTAGAATATTGAAGTAATTAATATTTGTTTTTAAGAACAAAAAAAATAATAAATAAATGCTGTTATTTCATAACTTCGTTAGTTGCAGCAATACTAAGTGAATTAAAAATAAGTCAACATTCAGGATATTCGCAAATAAATTTGTTGTAAATATGAAGCGAACACATAGATTATTATAATATTTTTATGACACTTTCTTTATTTTTCTAACATAGCGATTTCATTTCGATTTTTGATATTCAATTATTATGTCAATAATTTTTTTTAATACACTTAGTATATTAGTTTTTATTCATAAAGTATATAAAGAAAATATATTCATAAACACAATAAGTACTCACGTTCTTTAGTTTCACACCTTTCTCCATAATAACCATCTAAACAATTGCAAATAACTTTATTGTCTGATCCCACTTCACAACTTGATGATCTGTTATTACATGGACATAATAGACAGGAACCTAATGGCCTAGACAAACCGTAATAGAAGTCTTTATAGTACCCTGGAGAACAGGATTCACAGGATGATCCACGATATCCAACCGGACACTGACAGAATTCAACAGTAGTAGCTCTAGGTCTTCCAGTATACTGCTCGACAGCAGTTTCTAAAGTTACATCACTGAGATACGCTGTACTGGTATCGCTTGATTGTGTGGCTCTAATTAAGATGGAGTCGATATTAGCAAGAACCATAAGAATGTCTTCTCGGGAGGCTGGTTTTAATCCACCTGCCTGCTCTACACGGAACCAGTTGGTACTTGGATGGAGTGGGATGGACACAGGCTAATAAAATAAACAGATGTTGATCGATTGATGCTTTGTCTATTTTTTTTTGACACTATTAATAATGAAATTATATTAATGATAGTGATAATGGTGTATTAACTTAATTTGTGATTTTGTAGATATTTGAAATAAAAATAGCAATCAAGAATGTGCCGACACAGTGAGGCAGTGAAGTCGCCAATAATTTAAGACAGGTAATTAATTAAGTTAATCGTATTTATTTCAATTTTATGTTGTATTAATTTCATTCATTGTTATAATTAATAATAAAGTGATGTCCAATGTTTAGAGATAATAGCCGCAATTTTAAAAACTAATAATTTCAAATTTGGCATTCCAAAATTTTTTACAGAATTAGTGAAGAGTGATTTCAGTTTTAGTCGTAGGTAGGAGATTTATCAATTGTCATCTCTGTTATAATTATAAATATCAAAATGAAAATATGAAAAAAATGGCTAATCAAATCAAAATTAATTCTTTTAATATTGTAGAAGATTTAGATAAGCTTCCTGTAATAGAAGAAATTTTTATATATATATGACACATTCTAATAGATAACAATCAATAGATAACAATCAATTTATAAAAATGCGTGTATGATTATCTATCTACAGGTGGTAAATAATTCAATGGAAATTGATACCCCTGTTGTTGTTGCTGAACAAGCCATCATTTAATATAAAACTCAAAGTAACAACTATATTCTACGTTAGCAATCAGCAGAAAAAGACTATTTTTTGTTAATAGGAAATATGCATATTTATTTCAAATTATAGGATTTGTGTAGCAAAAATCACAAAAATAGAATGACGAAGTGTAACACTTGTTTATTTTTTAAAAAGGATTGTAATAATAGGTATCAATATATTTTATTATGAAATGAAAAACTATCATGGTTGTTTTGAATCAAACCTCAGCTGTTCACATGGAATGCGCCAGCCAAGTGTTTATTTGCCCTTGAGATAATGTAATTTATGAGTATATAATGTAACCCGAATGCCGATACTAAGAGAGGGTATTCTTTGTGAAAGTGGTGCCTGGCCAGCGCCCGAATAAGGTTGATATTATATATGTGTGCTAGCTTGAATGATTTGTGAATTTGTGAGTAATATGCCATACTCGTTTATGTTTTTGAAAACCCCAGGGCGCAATATGTGTTCCCGGTCTTAATGGCTGTGGGTCCTTCGAAGTGTGCCTTGTAGGTTCTACGGGGTCTTACATGCGCTTCGATTGACACATACTGGGTGGTGCTGAGGTAGGTGTTATAATAATAGTATGACTCATACACCCGGTAGTTGGGATGTTAACTAGTTGGCGTCCGGGGGAGCCTCAACTTATTTCAGGTGACACTAAACTCCGCGGTCGAAATTATAGAGTGACTCATCGCTAGCTTTTGGACTAGTAAGGGGGATGAAGCGTGCCAGGAACAAAAATCCATTGGCGTGTCTGCATAAAAGGCAACAAGATATAGAAAATACTGAAAAAAGATAATAAAACATAACATCTAATATTTTTTTTACGGTTTGCTATAACCGGCACTTTGATCCATTTTAATTATTACAGCATTTTAAAACGTCCCAGCCATGGAATTAGATCCCTCGTCTACGCTTATGCTATGACGTTTCTCAGGACGGGTAAATCAAGTCCGTTTACACCCACTAAAAAAGCATTTCCCTATTCCCTACCAAGTGCAAAAGACAGAGATAGAATATAGATCGACGTTCAGTGTAACTCAGTCTATAGACGATTATAGATTCCATCGATGTGCGTAGCGGGCGGCACAAAGACAAATAATATTGAACCGTATAAAAATCATTTTATATTTTATACGCATTATGATACTAGTGTTTTTATATTATGTCTCTATAATTTCGACCGCGGAGTATAGCTAGTTATTGAAGAAAGAATTGTACATGTTTGTTAATTAATATAATGGAAACGTATTAAAGGATGTACCTCAAATCCGAAAGTTAGGGGGGGTACATTCCCCCTAACTGGTGAGTTACCTATTTATTTGTTTTTTTATTGATAGAACAGTAACTTTGATATTTGTTTCATATACCCTCTTAATTTCTGGCGAATGACTCAGCTGTTGTCGAGATGAACTGCTTTGTGATGACCCATGTATAAAAGGTAACAATACCAACAATAACATCTATTTTACAGAAGTTAACTGTAATTTAAAAATATCAGAATTGATCAAATATTTCTTTAATTGTTATATGACCCATTTGTTTTTATTTTATTAGAATAGTATTGACATCAATAATTGTGATAATTTTAATTGAAGTTAAAATAAAGTATTCCAATATATTGCAAGTACTTACCAAAGAAATCTCGCTAAAATAAATTTTTTAGCGCAATAGCAGATTGATTTACTTGCAAAAGTGTCCACAAGGCTTTATGCACACAAACAAATTAAAACTGATACTGACACTGCACATTGCTCTCTATTGCAAATTGCACTATATCAGCAATTAAATGTGTTTTTATAATAAATTATAAAAATTTGTTGTTTTTTCTTAGTTTTGTTGTTCAAAATTTTAATTCTGTGAGTTCTTTTTTTTACAATTATTATGTTATGTATAGAGAGCGAACAATGTGTGTCTTTAACCTGAAGAATAGGTCAAATTTTGGTAGAGATGTGTACGTGTTCAAAAATGTATTGTGTATAAACTATGCAAAGTATAATTATTATGTATAGCAAATGTATCGTATTATCTTCGCGAAGATTTGTACCCTTTATTTAAAATCCATAAATCATGTGAACAGGTTAAATAACGAGAAAATAATTAAGTTAATTTAGTTCTAAAGAAATGAAATGACACTCGCGCCCATCTCTAGTCCATGCGTCGACATCGGTTACGTTTATCAAATTCCTATTGGTCAGAATTCAAACTGCAGCCCTGTTATGAATAGAGCGTGAGTTGGACTATTCTATCATGTGCGTCGCCTGCGGATATTCGTTACATTGACTCCTAATTTCCAATTAAAAGAACACTATTTTTAACCGAACTTTATTTAATAAATATGTAGTATACAATTTCTGATTTACTAAATATTTTACAACGCCTAAAAATGTATGTACCGTGGAATTTTCGTGAATTATCACGTAAATTTCTGATGCATACCTGACACGCCACTGAGTCATGGATAATGTATCTAGGTTTATGAATGACATATCTATGTTCAAGGTTAAAGACACAAATTGTCCGCTCTCTGGTTATGTAATAGATCATATCTATACAGGTATCTGAACAATGATTACTAATATGAGATTTGATCAAAATGTAACGGGAATTTTCAAATTACGTGTGTTGTATCTTGTTTATCAAGTAAATTTTTTTTGTATTGGTAGTACTGTCAGTGATGTACCCGTTAGTTTTTAGGCAGCTGCCATGTTTAGTTTGTGTTTTGCGAATGAATGAGTAAGACTTACCACAGTGTTTTTGGCAATTTTTTGTATGGGGAAATGTCAGATCAGAGACTTTGTCTAATATTTTTTGTTAAAGAAGACGATACTATGTCACAGCCATGAGTTTATCAATGATATAAATGTTTTCAGGAAGGTCAAGAAAACATTGAAGATGAGGTCAGATCTGGTCAAATGTGAAGATTCTTCCAAACGTTTTCCTCGACTACAATGGAATAGTTCATCATGAATTTTTACTGCCGAGTCGTACAGTTAACAAGGAGTACTACCTACAAGTTTTGCACAATTTGTGTGAGGTGAAACACAACAACGTTGTGATGTCGCTACCACCCTATTCTCCGGATATGACCCCTGCGACTTTTTCCTGTTTCCTAAACTCACAACGATACTCAAAGGACATTTTTCAACAATAGATGAGATAAAGGTAAACTTGCAAACCGCGCTCAAGACGATATCTAAAGAGGCGTTCCACCAGTGTTTCTCAAACTACACTCACCGGCATGAAAAACGGAGCACTTGCATTTTTTTCAAGGAAAGCTTAAATTTCAAACAATTCAGACGTTTTATTTTTCTAATAATGCAACGATAAGCAAAACAAAACTTTTTAAACAATTTTCAAGAATGCTTTAAAGATTATTTGATAATTTTGCACAAACTTTATGAAAGCTAAATGATGTAGAAATCTTATTAAAAGTTCGTAGTGGGCTCTAGATATGCATGTTTTTAAATTGTTTTCTAAACGTCAAAAAGTTAAAAAAAGGTTGAAAGCAGTGTTGTGAGTTGTGTTGTGTTAGTTTAATTACATGAATAATGGCTGTAAATTCTGAAACAGCAGTTGTTATTGTTGCATTGATTCAAGATGGAAGAAGTCAGCGATGTTGCCCAACAATATCAAATATCGAATAGCACAGTCTATCACATTTATGGACGTTTTGTAGAAACTGGATCTTACAGGAGGCAACATGGAACTGGTCATCAACGAAGAACCATGATTGTTTTATTGTCATGCAACGCCTTCGGAATCGGCGTGCTACAGCTGTACAAATCAGAAAGCGGCTTCAATACAATCGAAATACCACCGTAAGTGAAAGAATAGTTAGACGCCAACCTGGAGAAGCGAATCTGACTAGTCGTAGACCTGCAACAGGACCGGAACTTCTTAGACGTCATCGCACGGCACGACTTCAGTTTGCTAGAAATCACCAGCTTTGGGGTGAAAACAAATGGGGTCGCATCTTGTTCACGGATGAGTCAAGATTTAGTTTGCGGTCTCCAGATGGTCATGAGAGAGTATGGCGAAGACCACAAGAACATTTTTTTTTTCCTATCATCATCATCATCATTTTTTTCAGTCCTAGAGTTGGATATCAAGGGGGTTCAGTTATGGTCTGGGCTCGAATTTCTCTGGAAGCGCATACGGAACTCTATATCATTCCAAGAGGCTCCCTCACAGCTGCTAGGTACATTGGTAAAATTCTCCAAGATTTTGTCGTTCCTTATGTCGGTTTCATGGGAGATGACTTTCTACTAATGCATGATAATGCTAGACTCCATACTGCAAGAATGACAACAATATCTGAATGAGGTAAATAGTGCTGTTATGGAGTGGCCAACATTAAGTCCAGATGCCAACCCAATTGAGCATGTTTGGGACATACTTGGGCAACAAATTCGCAGTCAACTTCTTGCGCCACTAGCCTTAAATCAGCTTCAAGATGCTCTTGTGGAAGAATGGGAACTTATTACTCAAGAGGACATCAGGGACCTGATTTTAGGCATGCCTAGATGAATTAATGCAATAATTAGAAGTCGTGGGGGTGACACTCATTATTGAAAAACTTTTACTGAACGGAGTTTTGGTTTGGTTATTTTTGCTTTAGTTTGCCGCAATACTTTCTTGCGTTTATTTGATTTTGTTCACATTTTATTATAAAATGTGTGAATGAGTGAATCATGAATAAATATTTTCTTATAAACGCCTTTAAATCATATAAAATATTTTGTATTGATGGTGTTTACACTAATAAAATACAAAAATATTACAATCAATTAAAAAATAAGATTTTAAAAAATGTGACTGTTCCGTTTTCCGTGCCGGTGAGTTTAGAAACTACGTTGGAATAAGTGTATAATATCACAGAGGGTCTATTTTGAAAGGGATGGGATAAAAATTGAAGATTTCGTAAATACTTTCTGTGAAAAAGTGTAAATAATTTTTTATATCCCTCTCTGCATATGCGATAAATAATCAACATCATCCCAAAACAAAACTGCTTGCTTCATCAACAGATTCAAGTTGCTATTACCCCACACATCTAAATTTTTATTTCTTTACTTGCCTTTTTGCATTTACATACATTAAAATGTTACTTACATTGGCAATATCATCCCTTAATTCTACAGGGTTGCTCCAATAGATAGTAATTCCGTTACCAATGATGATTACATCCTGATGTGGAACATATACAGCTTCTGGACGTTGGGTATATCTTTGGATAAACTCCAGTTTGCCTCCGTAGGATTTAATTTTGTTGCCAGTAAATATGCTAGGCAGGGACCAGAACCACCTCTCTCTTTGACTAGGTAGGAAATTGTAACTAATTTCAGTGAAGAACCCATTTACATTGAATTTGTCAGTGATTCTTGACCGGCCCAATCTATAAGAGACAATAATAAAAGATGATGGATAATACAGTAACGGAATCAATTTTTTCACAACCTGTCGGCATCATAAACAAGCATCTGTAACAATTATTCACTGCGCAACTCATACTTTGTTTTGTTCATGCAATAGAGTTAAATACACAGATTTAACACGTGAGGGAACTGATCCCTTTAAATTGTGGTAGACACAGGTTTGAACTGATTTTGCACTGATTTGTGTTTAACTTTATCGATGACTTACCAGTAACAAGAACATTTTTCTAATTTAAACAGACAAGTTATGTTTTCACTACAAGTAAGGCATCGAATTCACCAGATTTAAACATTCCTTTCTGGAATTTCTAGCAAATAGCTTGTTATATCTAAAATTGTTACTTAAGTTGTTGGTATTTCTTTGTTTAGATGAAAATAAAAATATTAGTTTTATACCAAGTGGCAAGATTTTATTCTTAATATAAACAAATTAAAATTTGTTTACAGTGAAAATTCATTTTCTCATTTTACATTATCGTCAACCAATTTTCTACCTTATAGATCAACTTAAAAATTGTTTATTTCAACTAGAAAGAAATCATTAAATTTTGAAGTACCCCTATAATTCTAAATAACAAAATTGTTATCCTATGCCGTATACATATACAGGGTGTCCCGAAATTAGGGGACAATATTTCTACAGGGTATTCTATGTCAAAAAAGATTACTTTTCCTTTATATAAACGTGGGTCCAAAAATTCTTCCTAGGGAAGTTATAACCACGTAAAGGGACCACTCTGATGATGGTTTTTTCTAAATAACTCCAAAACTAGGTGAGATAAATTTATGAAATTTGGTAACTATACTCGGCGGCCGAAATTATAAAGAGTGACTAATACATAATATAAAAACACTATTACCATAATGCGTATAAAATATAAAATGATTTCTATACAGTTCAATATTATTTATCTTTGTGCCGCTCGCCATGCACATCGGTAGAATCTATAATCGTGTATAGACTGAGTTACACTGAACGTCGATCTATATTTTATCTCTGTCTTTTGCACTTGGTAGGGAATAGGGAAATGCTTTTTTAGTGGGTGTAAACGGACTTGATTTGCCCGACCTGAGAAACGTCATAGCATAAGCGTAGACGAGGGGTCTAATTCCATGGCTATAATAAATTTATAAATTAAAAAAACACAACTGGGACGTTTTAAAATGCTGTAATAATTAAAATTGATCAAAGTGCCGGTTATAGCAAACCGTAAAAAATATTAGATGTTATGTTTTATTATGATTTTTCAATATTTTCTATATCTTGTTGCCTTTTACGCAGACACGCCAATGGATTTTCGTTTCCGGCACGCTTCATCTCCCTTACTAGTCCAAGAGCTAGCGATGAATCACTATCTATAATTTTGGCCGTCGAGTATAGCTTAATTCTTATGTGATCAGTCCGCTACTAAAACCAGATTTACAAATTTTGGTCACATACGTTCCAACACTGGGGGGAGGGGATATAATTTACCATAACTGTTTTATGCTTCGACTTTTTTCACTTTTTACTGAAAAGTATGACATTTCAGAGTTTTTATTAAAAAAAAGGTACTCTTGGTTCAGATTGGTAGAATGTTCCATTTTTGTGTAAAATCCGTTTAAAAATTATGTTACATGTGTTAATCACCGAGAATCGAAATTGTCAATATTTTTCATCGTCGCAGGTTTTGAATATCAAAAACGCGTTTGGCATCATCTGCATTGACAGTTCAGTTATTTACATTTTGCAAATTATTATCCGTCAAAAATGCAAGATTTTACGAATGTAGAGCTGGAAATTCATAATACCCATTTCTGGTCAGACGAAAATCCACGGGCAATACGGCGCACAAATAAAAAAAAAATTGCAATAAATGTGCAGACAGGAATTTTAGGGGACCAGCTACTTGGACCAATTCAGTTTGTTCGAATGCAGGATACTTAAACTTTGGCTGCGAATCAACTCAGACAAAATAATTTTGAAGTTTTGAGGTCTTCACGGGCAGTTTTACGTCGAGCTGAAAAATGTATTCAGCAAAATGGAAATCTTTTTGAGCATTTGCTATAAAAATTACTATTGAGATATAGATAAGTTTTATTGATAGTGTGGTTTTCAATTAGTTTTATTAGTTTATTGTAAATATTACTATTTAGTAATTTCAATTGTTTTTTTCTTACCTTGTCAAAAATAATTTACTAAAAATAATAAATTTCTGTGAAAATAACAATTCACAAAAGTAAATAACTGAACTGTCAATGCAAATGACGCCAAACACGTTTCTGTTCTTCACAACCCACTACGATAGAAAATATTGACAATTTCGATTCCCGGTGATTAACACATGTAACATTTTTAAACGGATTTAACACAAAAATATTCTACCAATATGAACCAAGAGTACCTGTTTTACTAGAAAACTCTAAAATGTCATACTTTTCAGTAAAAAGTGAAAAAAGTCAAAGCATAAAAAGTTATGGTTAATTTTACCCCCCTCCCCCCCAGAGTTGGAACGTATGTGATGAAAATTTGTAAATCTCGTTTAGTAGCAGACTGATCACATAAGAGTTAAGCCAGTCACCAAATTTAATAAATTTATCTCAACTGGTTTCAGAGTTATATGGGTAGCTATAACTTCCTTTGGAAGAATTTTTGGACCACGTTTATATAAAGAAAAAGTAACCTTTTTCGACATAGAACACCCTGTAGAAATATTGCCACCTAATTTCGGGACACCCTGTATATTTTTACATAGTACTTACTGATCAGTTAAAGTATATCCATGACCTTCAGTAAATGGTTTTGGAATTTGTTCGAAAAATAAATTACTTTCTCTACATTCACTTGCTACTCCAGAGCAAAAACAGAATTCACAACCATCAATGTTATCAGCACTTAATCCAAAGGCACCACTACGGCAGCGATCACAGTTATTTCCTTCTACGTTAACCTGAAACAGACATCTCGTTTAGCACTATGAATTAATTAGCCGTATAGTTGAGCAATATTAGAATAATGATATGGTATAATTCCAAATATTCATGTTTTTCTAAAAAAAAAGTGCATACCTTACAATCACATCGACCATTTCTGCAATCATTAGAAACTGAGCCTCTTGGGTCACAGTTACATGGGAGTTGAGTTCCTTGATAGACACATGGTATTCCATTAACTGGATCGCCTTTATAATCCGGTAAACATCGTTCACAGTTATCACCGGTAGTGAAATCTCGGCAATTCTGAAAACAGTATGTATCTCTGTCTTATTTGTAAATGCCTACTTAATTTTAATTACGCCAAATAGCTGGTAATACTTACAAAGCATACACCAGTATCAGGATCACAATGCTTTGAATGTCCATGGCAATTACATGGTTCACAGAGTCCAAGATATATTCCTTCATTATTTCGAGTAAATCCTACGTCACAATCCTCACATGACAGTCCTGCGTATCCAGAAGGACAAAGGCACTGTTCAACTTCTAAAGCTCTTTCTTGTCCAGTATTGCGTTCATTCGCAATGTCAAGTGATACAGATATCAGTCTAAATTAATTTATTAAATTTACAAAATTTACTTTATTGTTTAATTTTTGTAAATACTTACGCTGCTTCTTTGGTATTTGTATAATATGTTGCTTTAATATATATAGCTTCCAAGTCGGCCAATGCCATGAGAAGATTTTCTCTGTCAACATTATTTCCATCAAACCTCTGCCAATATTGTTCTAGAAGAGGTACAACGAACGTTTGTGAACCACTGGTAGGATAAGTTTGATTTCGATTGAAAAATAGTAGATTGTATTGATTTTTCTAAAATTAAATAAACAAAAATAAACTTATATTTGCATTCTATATAAAAGTTGCATTTTCTATATTTCAAATTACTCACACCGACTAGTTCAACATCAGCAGCAGAATTTCTAGAACTTTGCCCACCAGGCACTGGTGTATGCCTTAATGTATATCGAAGATAGCCACCATAAGAGAATACTTTATTGCCCAAATAGCGTGGAGGCAGAGACCAGTAATACACATTGGGTGAAGTGAAATCACTGTAAACGATTTCACGAGATCCCTGGTTTAGTCTAATTCCTTGCTCGATTGGAACTTCCCTATTTTGATTATCTATCAGCTTAAACTCATTGAGTGAACTGGTAAACTCATTTGATATCTACAAAGAATTAATTTTACAGAAAAGGTGGAAATATTTGGCAATGTTATAACCGTTACCTGATCTCTATACCAGTTTGAACTAGTACAATTAGAAGTAATCCCCATACAGAAACACGCTATACACCCGAATCTATTTTTGTCACTTAAATGGAATGTGTTAGGTCTGCAACGGTCACAAGTTGGGCCTTCGGTTAGATCCTGAAAATAATAATTTGCTAGTACCTTCCTCATTTTTAGAATATTCGGCACATTTCATATTAACATAAATATGTGCAACATGTAATGTATAGAAATTTGTAAATATTCTGACTTTTTTATTTTTAATTACGTACTTTACACCGGCATCTACCACTGCTGTCTAGTCCAGTTGAACCATCTGCATGACAAACATCTGTAGGCGGTGTATATCTACATGAATCACCTGGTATCAGAGGATTACCATTATAACCTGGAGCACAATATTGACAACGATCACCTACATAACCAAGCTGACAATTACAAATTACTTCCCCATTAGAACTAAGCTGACATGTTCTACCAAACCTAAAAAAATATTTTACATTTACACAGATACTCAGTAATGTGCTATAATATATTATAAAATTACAATGTATTTGTAAAAACACAATTTGCACAAGGCGACATTAACGTTTTCTTAACATGATGTAGAATTTGTAAAATAGGGAATTTTACCAAACACTGTCTACACAAAAGTTGCAAAATAATATAGAAAAGTTACCAACATAATTGCTCCTATGACGGTGTTGGTATGTTTGTTAGATGCTAATTATTAAAGGGGGATGTCATCCACCAGTCGCTATTACTGAGTCAGCCAGAACCCCTTTCGGAATGCGCAAGTAGTCGAGGTCAGCCGATGGAGCGCGGTCCGTGGGGTCAGCGAGCACGTCAGTCGAGTCACGGGAGAGTTCCGACATAACAAATAAACAAGAGACAACTCTGTCGTTTAAGGGAATAAACTGATTGTTGAAATTATGTGTTTTAATTGGGGGTGAAAACCCTCGTGTTTCTAACATGTTTAAAAAAATTGTTAAAGTTGTCACCATCCATTTTGTAATNGCCACTATCTCGAACTCCTTGTCTTCGTCGGGCAGCTGAGGCAGTCTAACACCAAACACGCGCCCCCCGACACCTAAACCCTCCACAAGCGCCCTACAAAACACCCCACAAAGCACACAAAAACAGACAGACAAAACCAAACAAGTCCCCCCGGTAATCTTGCGAAATCAAGAACGGTGGACGCAAGTACAAAAAATACTCACAACACTTAACATTAACTACACAAAAGCCAAACTCACTAAAGACGGTATAGCCATATACACAAATACACCAAATTACCACAGACTATTGACAAAGACACTGACATACAAAGGCGAGGAGTACCACACCTTCACCCTCAGCGAATAAAAAACGCTGAGGGTGGTGATACGCGGAATACCTGCGGGTGTTTCGCCAAGTGAGGTCCAACTCGACCTCGCGCGACAAGGGTTCCCCGGCGCAATAGTGCACCGCATGGCGAGCCGTCAAAATAAACAGGAAATGCCCCTGGTCCTAGTTCAGGCCCAACAGGACCAGGAGGACATCCTGAAGGTTGTTATGTCCTTACTTCACTTTTAATATTAGGAAAAGAAAAACTCGGTCGATTTCGAGACAACGTATATTTATCTGCCACATACAAATACAGACTGACTCTCGCGTAGCACATTCATTAACAAAAAACACAGGCACAGTAAAAACACATACACTATTTAAATACAAGGTCGGTATGCAACACCCTTCTCCCTTGTGAAAATTTTGTCATAGAACACATTATTTACAATATATACAAAAAATATCCTAAAATAGAAAAATTATTTACATCAAGTGTATATTAAACGTTCAATTGGTTTAACATTTCTTTTAGGTCTATATCCTTCAGGTGAGTTGGTCAAATCCACGATACTTAACCTTTCAGGAATATCCGGTCCAGCAAGTGTACTTGGTAAGCTAGATTCCTTTACACAAAATTTTTTTATTTGATTCAAGTGTCTTTTCCAAATTACATTGCCTAATTCCGGAATTTGAACCAAGTATGTAGATTTGCCAATCCGCTGTTTAATTATAGCTTTAATCCACTTCGGTTTATTTACCTCTCGATAGTCTTTTACAGTCACTTTTTCCCCCACTGTAAAAACTAAGAACCGTCGACCTCCGTGATACTCTTTTTGATTTGCCTGTTTAATTAGCACGCGATTTTTATTTATTTCTGAAATAGGTTTTCTCAAATTTATGTTGGAGGGCATTATGTTATCAAATCTAATACGTAACTTCCTTTTAAAAATTACATCTGCTGGACTTACGCCTGTAGTAATGTGTGGCACATTACGATAATCAAAAAGAAAGTTATGCAACACTTGATTTATATTAACATTTGGCTGTGTACCCAAAGACTTTTTTAGAGCACTTTTGACTGTTTTGACCGCGTTTTCAGCAGCACCATTCGAAGAGGGATGAAATGGTGGTGACGTAACATGAATTATTTGATTTGATTGTAGAAAAACTTGAAACTCATTAGAACAAAAGGTCATAGCGTTATCTGTTACAATCTCTTTTGGTAGACCAAATCGTGCAAAAACTGATCTTAAAATCTCAATGGTAGCTTTTGAAGTTATGTTGTTCATAGCAAAAACTTCCAACCATTTGGAATGCGCATCTATTATTATTAAAAATTGTTTATTGAAGATTGGGCCCATAAAATCTAAATGTATACGGTACCAAATCTCCTCTGGAAATGGCCAATTATTTAAAATTGAATGATTTGGGTTTGGCTTATATAACAAACAATTTTCACAAACGCGGCAAATATTTTCGATATCTTTATTAAGTCCTGGCCACCAGACATATGACCTGGCCAAACTTTTCATCTTAACAACTCNAGTCGGCCAATGCCATGAGAAGATTTTCTCTGTCAACATTATTTCCATCAAACCTCTGCCAATATTGTTCTAGAAGAGGTACAACGAACGTTTGTGAACCACTGGTAGGATAAGTTTGATTTCGATTGAAAAATAGTAGATTGTATTGATTTTTCTAAAATTAAATAAACAAAAATAAACTTATATTTGCATTCTATATAAAAGTTGCATTTTCTATATTTCAAATTACTCACACCGACTAGTTCAACATCAGCAGCAGAATTTCTAGAACTTTGCCCACCAGGCACTGGTGTATGCCTTAATGTATATCGAAGATAGCCACCATAAGAGAATACTTTATTGCCCAAATAGCGTGGAGGCAGAGACCAGTAATACACATTGGGTGAAGTGAAATCACTGTAAACGATTTCACGAGATCCCTGGTTTAGTCTAATTCCTTGCTCGATTGGAACTTCCCTATTTTGATTATCTATCAGCTTAAACTCATTGAGTGAACTGGTAAACTCATTTGATATCTACAAAGAATTAATTTTACAGAAAAGGTGGAAATATTTGGCAATGTTATAACCGTTACCTGATCTCTATACCAGTTTGAACTAGTACAATTAGAAGTAATCCCCATACAGAAACACGCTATACACCCGAATCTATTTTTGTCACTTAAATGGAATGTGTTAGGTCTGCAACGGTCACAAGTTGGGCCTTCGGTTAGATCCTGAAAATAATAATTTGCTAGTACCTTCCTCATTTTTAGAATATTCGGCACATTTCATATTAACATAAATATGTGCAACATGTAATGTATAGAAATTTGTAAATATTCTGACTTTTTTATTTTTAATTACGTACTTTACACCGGCATCTACCACTGCTGTCTAGTCCAGTTGAACCATCTGCATGACAAACATCTGTAGGCGGTGTATATCTACATGAATCACCTGGTATCAGAGGATTACCATTATAACCTGGAGCACAATATTGACAACGATCACCTACATAACCAAGCTGACAATTACAAATTACTTCCCCATTAGAACTAAGCTGACATGTTCTACCAAACCTAAAAAAATATTTTACATTTACACAGATACTCAGTAATGTGCTATAATATATTATAAAATTACAATGTATTTGTAAAAACACAATTTGTACAAGGCGACATTAACGTTTTCTTAACATGATGTAGAATTTGTAAAATAGGGAATTTTACTAAACACTGTCTACACAAAAGTTGCAAAATAATATAGAAAAGTTACCAACATAATTGCTCCTATGACGGTGTTGGTATGTTTGTTAGATGCTAATTATTAAAGGGGGATGTCATCCACCAGTCGCTATTACTGAGTCAGCCAGAACCCCTTTCGGAATGCGCAAGTAGTCGAGGTCAGCCGATGGAGCGCGGTCCGTGGGGTCAGCGAGCACGTCAGTCGAGTCACGGGAGAGTTCCGACATAACAAATAAACAAGAGACAACTCTGTCGTTTAAGGGAATAAACTGATTGTTGAAATTATGTGTTTTAATTGGGGGTGAAAACCCACGTGTTTCTAACATGTTTAAAAAAATTGTTAAAGTTGTCACCATCCATTTGATGGTCATAATATGGGTCACTACAAGCAGTGAAAATATAGCCTCTTCGTCCATGGACAACTTCACAATCTTGGCACTTTTCCATTGTGATAAACCAAATTTTTCAAATGATCTCAAAAAAAAACACACGGATCACATACCTAGTGACCATTGTTTAATCATTTTCGATATTATCTAGAATTTGTTCCATAATAAGTAATTCTCTTTACTTCTTAAAACACCTTTTGATACTTTTCAACTAAGTAAGGAAACATTTGCTATGATGGGTGATTTCGTAATAATGAAAAACTTTTTGCAAATACCTAAATAAGATGCTATGGCTATATTTGTAGTGTGTATATAGCTACTTGTTGTCCATTTGCCATCAATCTCATCCCTTGTCAACATAATATAATATTTAATATATCAAGTAGGATGATGAAAAACAAAAGAGGTTGTTATGTAAATAAATAAATATCAGATACCTATGTATATTATTATAATATACAGGACAAACCAGAAACGAACCCCACACGATCAGAAAAAGAAAGCGAGATGAGCTGGAATCGAAATCAAGTCAACTCGACGAGGAGAGTTTATTCACTGAATACGTCAAGTGTTTGGAATCAGCACATTCGACATATTTTATCGGCATACTCCTTAAATTAAAAGTATATTAACAAGTTCATTGTTTTTGTAAATATTTTTGTATATAATGTGCTTTTGTTTGAAAAATGTAGGAACAGAAAATCATAATTGGGAAAAATGTTATTTAATGCATACATTTTGCATTTAGACTGATATTTCACAGTTAATTTATGTGCACAACAGGACAGCGAATACAGCCAACAAAACATGTGGAATGATTTTTTTTTGGTGGGTTGAAAAGTTGTGAAAAATTTTATCATTGGGATTTCTGGCGAAAGTTGACATTAAACAAAAAAGTATCCAATACAAAAGTTGTAGGTCATACAAAAATCTACAACTTTTGTGGAGGTCACTTTTTAAGATAACCTCAAAATTTCTGAAAAACAGTTTTTTTCCTGATTTTTCGTTTTTTATTTCTCATTTCCGCAAAAATAATTTAATTCTGACAAAACTTGGTGAAAGTATACCTTTCTGTGTCTTAAATAACCACAAATTTTTGTAGATAAAAAAATCAAGAAGTTTCCGAGATATTCATTTTTTCCGATCTGAAACACTTTTTCTTCAAAGAAAAATTTTTAGAAAAATCATCGTACAGAGCTCTGCCGGTGATCATTTTTTTTCGTTTTGATATATACTTTTTGGTGAAAGAAAAAAATCTGTAATCACAGTTTAAAAAAATAAAAAATGACTTGCAACAATTACAGTTCAGTAATTGATAATTTGTTTAAATTAAAAATAAAATTCAAAAACTGATTACACCATTCAATTATATACAATACAAAAAAACTGTCTCATTGTTTGACCCAAAACTTTATTTTTGCACAGTATTGCTATAAACATAAGTCGAATAGTGAATAAATAAAATAAATAATATTTTTTTTTCCATAGCGACTAATACAGCTGAGGGAGACAGAGAGTGAGGTTCGAGTTGTCCGTTGTTAACGCTTATAAACGCTAGTTTCACGAGTGCCAATTTTGTTTTGCCCTGTTCCCATTGCCGGACTGAAGATTGAGGGCCCTCTGCTACAGCGAAGACCCAGGAAAATCTGAGGTAAGTCGCAAGCCTCGTTCAAAATTTACCTTAAAGATAATAATTACGTGCCTAGTTCCATTCAGCTGGAGTTATCAAAACTAATTATAAAAGACGACATTATTCATACAGTGTGTCCAAGATAAGGATAGGTAAGCATTAGGATCTAGGAAATGGTAAGAAATATGGGGTGGCTCAGATTAGAAAAAAATTGTGTTTTTTATACCTAACAATAGAGTTTAGAAAGTTTTAAAATTACGGGTAGTTCCCGAGTTATCCGGAAAAACCCGAAATTTTTCAAAATTGTTAAATTTTTTCTGGCTTTACTTGAAAACGAATTTTAAAATAAATTGCATATTTACAATGCCACTTTTTTCGCTCTATACAATGGTGTCAACATTTTTGCAATCCGACATTTCGTCTTCGAGGGGCCATCATTAATTAATTTTTTTAAATACATCGCTGCTATTTTTATGACAAAATCTAAAATCATTTTTAATTCTGTATTAGCTGATATTACTATTGTAATCGCTTTTAAAGTTTTTAGCTTGTTTTATCTATCATAAATTTGTATTATTTTTTTATTATGTACGCAATTTTTTAAATTATGGATTAAAAAAAATTGNCAACAATTACAGTTCAGTAATTGATAATTTGTTTAAATTAAAAATAAAATTCAAAAACTGATTACACCATTCAATTATATACAATACAAAAAAACTGTCTCATTGTTTGACCCAAAACTTTATTTTTGCACAGTATTGCTATAAACATAAGTCGAATAGTGAATAAATAAAATAAATAATATTTTTTTTTCCATAGCGACTAATACAGCTGAGGGAGACAGAGAGTGAGGTTCGAGTTGTCCGTTGTTAACGCTTATAAACGCTAGTTTCACGAGTGCCAATTTTGTTTTGCCCTGTTCCCATTGCCGGACTGAAGATTGAGGGCCCTCTGCTACAGAGAAGACCCAGGAAAATCTGAGGTAAGTCGCAAGCCTCGTTCAAAATTTACCTTAAAGATAATAATTACGTGCCTAGTTCCATTCAGCTGGAGTTATCAAAACTAATTATAAAACACGACATTATTCATACAGTGTGTCCAAGATAAGGATAGGTAAGCATTAGGATCTAGGAAACGGTAAGAAATATGGGGTGGCTCAGATTAGAAAAAAATTGTGTTTTTTATACCTAACAATAGAGTTTAGAAAGTTTTAAAATTACGGGTAGTTCCCGAGATATCCGGAAAAACCCGAAATTTTTCAAAATTGTTAAATTTTTTCTGGCTTTACTTGAAAACGAATTTTAAAATAAATTGCATATTTACAATGCCACTTTTTTCGCTCTATACAATGGTGTCAACATTTTTGCAATCCGACATTTCGTCTTCGAGGGGCCATCATTAATTAATTTTTTTAAATACATCGCTGCTATTTTTATGACAAAATCTAAAATCATTTTTAATTCTGTATTAGCTGATATTACTATTGTAATCGCTTTTAAAGTTTTTAGCTTGTTTTATCTACCATAAATTTGTATTATTTTTTTATTATGTACGCAATTTTTTAAATTATGGATTAAAAAAAATTGTTGGATATTTTGTGCTGTGTTGACTTTGATACTGTTATGACTTCTTCCAATAGATATTTTGAAAGCATTCAGAGCCGTACTTAGGAAAAATTTTAAATGATAGCCTTTTTAAACGATTACAATAGTAGGTAATATAATCTAATTCAGAATTAAACATTACTTTAGATGTTGTCATAAAAATAGCAGCGACATATTTAAGAAAATTAATATGATGATGGCCTCTCGAAGACGCCATTGGATAGAGAGAAAAAGGTGGCAATGTAAATATGCAATTTATTTTAAAATTTGTTTTCAAATAAAGCCAGAAAAAAAAAACGTTTTTGCAAAATTTCGGGTTTTCGGGTCTCGCGTCAACAGTAAACTTTGCAGTTAATACTTTGTATTTCTGAAATCTCAAATCATCCAGAGATAATTTATCATTTATGCATTTGTAATTCGACTTAGATGTTTATAGCAATACTGTACAAAAATAAAGTTTTTGGTCAAATGAGTTTTTTTATTTTTTTCCATAGAATTGAATGGTGTAATCAGTTTTTGAATGTTTTTTAATTTAAACAAATTATCAACAATTACTGAAAAATTAATTGTTGCAAGCCATTTTTTATTTTTTGCATTTTTGTGCATGTTTTTGAACCGTGATTACAGATTTTTTTATTTTACCAAAAAGTATATGTCAAAACGAAAAAAATTATTACCGGCAGAACTGTATACGATGAATATTTTAAGTATAATTTTTCTTTCAAAAAAAAGTGTTTCAGACTGGAAAAAATGAATATCTCGGAAACTTCTTGATTTTTTTATCTAAAAAAAATTTGTGGTTATTTAAGACACAGAAAGGTATACTTTCACCAAGTTTCGTAAAAATTAAATTATTTTTGCGGAAATGAGAAATAAAAAATGAAAAATCAGAAAAAAACTGTTTTTCACATTTTTCTCGGAAATTTTGAGGTTATCTTAAAAAGTGAACTCTACAAAATTTTATAGATTTTTGCATAACCTACGACTTGTATTGGATACTTTTTTGTTTAATGTCAACTTTCACCAGAAATCCCAATGATACAATTTTTCACAACTTTTCAACCCCCCAAATCAATCCTCCACCACCCCTGCTCACGCATTTATTTTTTTTTAGGTTTATTATAAGCCCTTTTACCATTTCCACTTATAAAAGTCCAGGTAACAATTTTTTTTTCTCCAAGTGTAATTTGGTTGGACTAATAGGTATTACTATAAATTGAAGAAAAATACTTACTGATTACTTGGATTTGTTAGTGGGCACGGGCACACTTGGCAATCTCTACCATCAAAATATGTGCCTGGTGGGCAAGATATAGGTTCTTTGTAACACTGCCCTAACCATGGACCTGATCGTTGTCGTACATAGCCATCAGCACATTTCTATAAGAGAATATATATTACAGTGTTTTTATTAGGACTATAATCAGCTTTAGATATGTTACCATACCAAAATTTAGTTACATATCAGTAGTTTACAATTATGTGGAATACTGTTAATTATTATGTGAACCATATAACTGTTTACCTCACAGGAATATCCGGCATAACCAACTGGACAAGTACACTCCTCAACAAAACTTGCTGCACCCAATCCACTATTTGGAGCAGCAGCAGAATCCATTTCAATATTTGTAAGGCTAGTGTTCAAAATACCTGCGTTATATTGAAGTTTTATTAATATATTGTCAATATCCTCCAAAACCATCATGATTTCTTCACGTGAAGCCATATTTTCAGGTTCCCTTTCAGATTTCTTTATCCATTCACCTTCAAAGAATCTAACTTCGAAGTTTTGATTAGTATTTGGTATTGGATTCTGCCTAGATTGATGTAATAGTATGTATCCATTGCCCTAAAATATATATACTTTTTAATTTCATCGATGTTGCAAAGATTAATGCCAAATCTATATTACATGTGCTGTGAGTTACTTGGATAAATTATTAAATTATTCTTTTCTTTTGATTTAGTTGAAATATAGATTTATTAATAAAATGACATTATTTAAAGGATAATATTAGAAATTTGGTGTACAAAAGTGTACTCATCAAAATGATGTGCAGAGTTTTATCACTGAATATTATTCCACAATGAAAGTTAATGTGAACTGTATAAGTAATTTCCCTGAAAACTCCGTATATAAATTTTTATTAGATTTTAAAAATTTTAATTCAACTTGTGATGTCCTAAACTATTGACGTTGTTATTACAGAAAATTTCTTATTTATGTAAATCCTCGCTACCTCTCTATTTTTAAATAAAAAGAGAATGAGCTTAGTATGAGATTTTAGTAGAACTCCCTGTTAATAGATGGCACAATTAAGGTATAGTTTAGCGTGTCACGGCTCTCCGCCAAATGTGTTTTAGTTTTATTTCTTTAATTTCAAGTGAGTTCATACAAAAATGATACAAGTTTTGTTTTGTTACATTATTGCATTCCCTGTTTATATCTAAAAACGTGGCAAATACCCCATTGTCTATTTGATAAACACCAAAAGTTATTTTTTAAATATAATATTTACTAAATAAGTAAATAACATTAAGAAAGTGAGAAAACATTGCATAAAAATTGGGGAATGCATTCCTATAGATACTTCTAAATATATGTAATTGTGTATTACTTACAGATATAATAACGTTAGGTCCAGGTGTTGGATATCCTCGATTAGAATGTTTGACAGTATATCTCAAATATCCACCATAACTCTTAAGCTGGTTACCATGATAATTTTCAGGCATAGCAAAGTATGGGACAACATCAGGCTGACTTAGTTCAGCATAATCTGGTGCAGTACTGAAGACTCCATTAGGTCCAAGTGATGTCAACTCAGGTATTGCTCCCCTGAAGATTGGTTCATCTCTTATATCCACAACGCCTGTGCTTGGGTCAATACGAACACCCAAAAGCCTCAAAGTGTCAAATGGAGGTTGGAACTATAAAAGTTAATATTATAAACTATATTAAAAAAAACATTACAATGGACCTTCCCAGTGAATTTAAAAATATTAGTGTTAAAGAAAGTACACAGAAATATATCTAGGACATTTTTTTTTAATTAGGACAGAAAAATTTATCAAAATTCAGTTGGTATTTAAAATTGCTCCCAAATTGACATATTCTACTTTACTTGCATAAAAAACATAAATGCTACTTCAAGCTCAGAAATTTCATAAATATGCTGAGACAAATTTTTTGTTATGATTAGTAAAAATTCATTAACCATAGCAAAATATCAACACTAAATAACCAAGTGAGTTGCTTTCTTACCACATCGAAACATGCTTTGTTAAAAATAGCTCACTTGCAGTAACCCCAAGTGAGCAACTTATATCTATAGTACTAAACAAATGACTTATTTCCTTTTGGTTCGAAATTTTGTTACTCTAAGTACCTAAGTCAGCTGCTAACTCAGTTGCTGCTAGTGAGTTAAAAATGTAATATACACAGGGTGTTAAATAAGTATGTTCACAAACTGTAAGAGGTGATTCATGTAGTGATTTTTAACTGAAAAGGTTATATAAACATGAGTCCGCAAATTCATAATTTTCGAGATATTGTATTCAAATTTCATACTTTTTTTTAAATGTCTCTAAAGAGCTTTGATACAGAATGATGAAAACTTAGACTATTAATTTATTTCATTAAAGATACAAATCCATTGAAGTTGGATATAAATACCTGTGCCAGTGAAAACTCCAGAAATTTGATGCCATTTTGGGTATTTTGAAAATTCGATCACTATCTCTAACATTTCGTGGTGTTCCAAGAAAAAAATTGTCCTTCATTTTATTCGAAAAATGAACCAGTTTTGATTTATCACTTTTTTAATTTTCATTAACATTACCTACCGAATACTTGAAAAAATGTAAAATAACTAGAACTTTTCTTTTTCTCTACAAATATTATTTTAAACACAAATTAATCATTACAAGTTACATTACAATCAATAACGTAAAATTTTGTAAGAGGGTAAAGAAAAAAATTTCGCTAATTATTTTCTGAGGTTTTTCACAATTATGTTGTATTTATTTAGAAAATAACATTTATTTAGAATATAATCCTATGAGCTTTCTTGTGAAATAAGTAGTTCTAGAGTTGTGTTAGATTTAATGAAATGTATCGTCAATGAAAATGAAAAAAAAGTAATAATTCAAAATGGGTCATTTGGCTTAAACTTACTCAAAAATTACCCCTTAAAATTTGTGCATATCTAATTAACATCCTGTATTTTTTATAAAATGTAAAGGACCCCTTTGTTTTGTTTCATTCCCCATTCGGTATAGGTCACAATAAAAATGACGTGATTCTACAATTCATTCACTGCATTCCACAAAATAAACATGTAGGAATAATGACACCACAAAAAAAAAGTGTACTGAGATGGTTTCTCCTATGGGGCAGTCAGCTTCTGGGAGCCCTGAGCAGATTGCTATCGGGAAACGAAGATAACCATTAAAACTGGGAAAAATAAGGACGGTACCTACTGCATGCAATCTTGAATTTACTCATGCTGCGTTGGCTGCTGAACTGTAGGCTAAAAGTTCTATACCGAATACTAGATGCACTGGCTGACATATTCACAACGCTTCAATGATATGTATCGGCAACAGAAACTTAGTTGCTGTGTACATGTGAACTAAAACCTGTCTATGTATCAACTGAGACAAAACTAGGACCTTGGATGAGAAGAGGGGTATTAGTTGCAAGACAGTGGAAATAAACGATCGACATCGACATACACGCATGTGCAGTGAGACAAATTCCAGTTTAATCCAGAAATTTTAGGTGAGGCCTCAGTTACACAAAGTGAGTCCTTATTTCCTACAAATAAGAGTTCACTGCTACCAAATGACGAAATTTCAAGAAGGTACATTCACTTACTCAGGCAGTGTAACACACTTGAGACAAATCGACGATTGAATAAAATATAATTCAAAGTGTGCTATTAAATAGGGAGAAGAGTTTTTTGTTGTTGTTTCAGTAAAACGCATTTACTTAAGGCAACATGATTTTTTTTTGTTGGAAATATTTTACTAATAGCAGCGAAAATATCCTAGCGAAGCACCTCACTTGGATGATTTTTTTCAATGTATATATTATAATATTTTTTCAGTACTATATTTATTTATTGCATAAAATCAATAAAGTTTAAAAAGAAAATGTGCAAAATTCAAAAGAATAATTAACAATTTCGTATTTTTTATAGATATTGTTATTTTTTATTCATAAAAAGTAGTACGATGTAGTTGTACTGGAATATGTGTGTGCATAAGCAATTTCTATATGCGACATCATTGGAAAGGTACTTTAGTAATGTAATGAATAATTAACATAATTTTGTGTTCATTATAATAATTGTATTAAGAATTATAATGCAAAATTATCCATCAGTAAAGATGAAAATAATAAAAAATATCTTGATTTGAGTAACCTGTAATGAAAACCACCACTGAGTATTGTTAAACAATGTACCATCAATGAATTTTGAAGACTTACCTGGTAAATAAAGAGGTCTGCAGAATGACAGCTAGTGGTATGTCCAAAGCAGAAACATTTAATGCACTCACTCTCACTTCTAGCATCATCATTGAAGTAACCTGATCTACATGGACTTGATTTTTGTACAACTACAATTGTATCAGGAACAGCAAATGTAGAACCTTTGATATTAATAGCTTCACAAGAGTATGCACCTTGGTCTTCTGATTGAATATCTTCACAAATCAACTCACCAACACCATTAACGCTTGTGGTTCTACATTTTGGAGGAATATGGCCCCGATTTAATCTCCATACTATTTCAGGTGTTGGAATGCCCACTGCTGTACAAGTTATTATAAGAGTATCGTGCTGTTGAAGATTTACCATTGGTGGTGGTGCCTTTGAAATTACTGGTTTGGCTGCAAAAATTGTAAATAAATAAATATAAATGTACTTTTAAAAGCATTACAGCTTACAGCATCCAACCTCATCGCTACCATCAATACAATCTCTCTCAACATCACAGTGATAACTCTTTGGGATGCATTGATAATTTGAATGACAAGAAAATTGGTGGTATTGGCAAACAGCACCAGGAGGATTTGTTCCACAATCAATTTCATCAGAACCATCACCACAATCATTGTCTGAATCACATCTCCAAGTCTTCAATATACATTTTTTGTTATTACATTGATATTCATTGGGTTCACATCCATTGGCATCTAAAAATTAAATTAATGAAGCACATTCTAAAATAAGACAGTTAATATTAAAGTAACTCACTGCATCTATTTTCATCCGATCCATCTATACAATCAAAAATCCCATCGCACACTTTATTTTTGTCTATGCAGTCTCCATTTGAACATGTTGCCTGATGAAGTTGGCACGCTGTTGGAGGGCGAAGAGTAGGTGGTGGTTCCCCTAGAAGTATAAAACATATGTAAGGTAATATTTATTTATAAAACTGCAAATGCATCTACAAACAATTATAAATAGGAAACTAGATAAAAAAGAAATACTGATGATAATAATACGTATATAACTAAATGTACATAAGGTACTACATTTTTTTACCAAATACCGAGTAAAAATATATTTTTTTTTTACATAAATACAGGGAGGGGCACTTCCACTGGCATTTCCTTAGAAACCAAAAGACATTTAAACGATTACTAACCACAAGCGAAATACAGTATAGGATTACAGTTGACATACAAAAATTTATATTACTTATACATAAGTAGAATTATTGCGCAAAAAAATTTTTAACTCCAAAAACAAAAAAAAAAAAATGGGTGGGGAATAGAGAATTAAATTATGGATAATTTGTTTCCTATTTGCTTCCTCTATAATATCAACTGGTTGTTATATATTGGAAATGTGTTTTGTATATTTTATTTCTATAACTTTTTTTAATATGTTTTATACATACTCTTCAAACATATTTCACAATTAGATAAACACTATTAATGGGCAATAATAAAATTGTCTTGTATCTTCTGAATTAATACTTATAAATCTGTGATTTTAAATAAGGCACCCTGTAAATTATTGTCTTTTTAAAAATAATACAGTTTTAAACAATTTGTGGGTGTACTGTTCAAAATATGATATACCAACTTAGGTATATCTCAGTTATTTGAAATTGAGAAGTTTACACGTTTTTGCGCGAAATAATTACCTGCAGAGATTATTCTGATATAAATTAGTCACTGGCCGTCCATTTCTAAATTTACAAAAGGGGCGGCTTATTTTTTAAATATTATTTTAAATTATTCGCCTCCCTAGAAAATTCTACCAAATTTGAATTTAAAAACTATTAACGTTATATAAACTTTTCATTTAATTTTTTGCTTTTTTATATATTTTTTTATAAATTCTAAGCAATTTTTTTTTCATCTAATTGGTAAAAAAAATTAGCATAGGGATCTGCCTGCATCTAAGAATTATACATAAATTGAAAATATTCACAACAAAATAATNATTATTTGTAAAAAATTTAAATATTTTTTAAATTTTAATACCCTGTATTTTTTTAACGAAACTTCCTAGATAAAAGCTTTATACGAAAGAGCCCTCTTAAAATTCACTAAAGAATACGAGGTTTCATTTTTGGTCAGTGTTTGCGAATCACCTTACGAATATAATGAGAAGTTATCGTATGCCCCTTTACACCCAATGAACTTATCTTATACCCCTCGTATGTGCAATAATTGCCCTTGAAAGTGTTTCTTACTCCAAACACCGATGGCGTATTTAATGCATTTTTTCATCGAGTTGCCTATCTATTTCTTACATAGTATATCTTATCTATGAGTAACCCCAAGTGAGCAACTTATATCTATAGTACTAAACAAATGACTTATTTCCTTTTGGATCGAAATTTTGTTACTCTAAGTACCTAAGTCAGCTGCTAATACAATTGCTGCTAGTGAGTTAAAAATGTAATATACACAGGGTGTTAAATAAGTATGTTCACAAACTGTAAGAGGTGATTCATGTAGTGATTTTTAACTTAAAAGGTTATATAAACATGAGCCCGCAAATTCATAATTTTCAAGATATTGTATTCAAATCTCATACTTTTTTTTTAAATGTCTCTAAAGAGCTTTGATACAGAATGATGAAAACTTAGACTATTAATTTATTTCATTAAAGATACAAATCCATTGAAGTTGGATATAAATACCTGTGCCAGTGAAGACTCCAGAAATTTGATGCCATTTTGGATATTTTGAAAATTCGATCACTATCTCTAACATTTCGTGGTGTTCCAAGAAAAAAATTGTCCTTCATTTTATTTGAAAAATGAACCAGTTTTGATTTATCACTTTTTTAATTTTCATTAACATTATCTACCGAATATTTGAAAAAATGTAAAATAACTAGAACTTCTCTTTTCTTCTTTTCAAAAAATATTATTTTAAACACAAATTAATCATTACAAGTTCGAAACAATCAATAACGTAAAATTTTGTTAGAGGGTAAAGAAAAAAATTTTGCTAATTATTTTCTGAGGCTTTTCATAATTATGTTGTATTTATTTAAAAAATAACATTTATTTAGAATATAATCCTATGAGCTTTCCTGTGAAATAAGTAGTTCTAGAGTTGTGTTAGATCTAATGAAATGTATCGTCAATGAAAATTTAAAAAAAAGTAATAATTCAAAATGGATCATTTGGCTTAAACTTACTCAAAAATTACCCCTTAAAATTTGTGCATATATCTAATTAACATCCTGTATTTTTTATAAAATGTAAAGGACTCCTTTGTTTTGTTTCATTCCCCATTCGGTAAGGTGACAATAAAAATGACGTGATTCTACAATTCATTCACTGCATTCCACAAAATAAACATGTAGGAATAATGACACCACAAAAAAAGTGCACTGAGATGGTTTCTCCTGTGGGGCAGTCAGCTTCTGGGAGCCCTGAGCAGATTGCTATCGGGAAATGAAGATAACCATTAAAACTGGGAAAAATAAGGACGGTACCTACTGCATGCAATCTTGAATTTACTCATGGTGCGTTGGCTGCTGAACTGTAGCACAAATTTCCATACTGAATACTAGAGGCACTGGCTGATATATTCACAACGCTTCAATGATGCGTATCGGCAACAGAAAATTAGTTGCTGTGTACATGTGAACTAAAACCTGTCTATGTATCAACTGAGATAAAACTAGGACCTTGGATGAGAAGAGGGGTATTAGTTGCAAGACAGTGGAAATAAACGATCGACATCGACATACACGCATGTGCAGTGAGACAAATTCCAGTTTAATCCAGAAATTTTAAGTGAGGCCTCAGTTACACTAAGTGAGTCCTTATTTCCTACAAATAAGAGTTCACTGCTACCAAATGACGAAATTTCAAGCAGGTACATTCACTTACTCAGGCAGTGTAACACACTTGAGACAAACTGACAATTGAATAAAATATAATTCAAAGTGTGCTATTAAATAGGGAGAAGAGTTTTTTGTTGTAGCAAACACGTTTCAGTAAAATGCATTTACTTAAGGCAATATGATTTTATTTTGTTGGAAATATTTTACTAATAGCATCGAAAATATCCTAGCGAAGCAGCAAAAATGTGCAAAATTCAAAAAAATAATTAACAATTTCGTATTTTTTATAGATATTGTTATTTTTTATTCATAAAAAGTAGTACGATGTAGTTGTACTGGAATATGTGTGTGCATAAGCAATTTCTATATGCGACATCATTGGAAAGGTACTTTAGTAATGTAATGAATAATTAACATAATTTTGTGTTCATTATAATAATTGTATTAAGAATTATAATGCAAAATTATCCATCAGTAAAGATGAAAATAATAAAAAATATCTTGATTTGAGTAACCTGTAATGAAAACCACCACTGAGTATTGTTAAACAATGTACCATCAATGAATTTTGAAGACTTACCTGGTAAATAAAGAGGTCTGCAGAATGACAGCTAGTGGTATGTCCAAAGCAGAAACATTTAATGCACTCACTCTCACTTCTAGCATCATCATTGAAGTAACCTGATCTACATGGACTTGATTTTTGTACAACTACAATTGTATCAGGAACAGCAAATGTAGAACCTTTGATATTAATAGCTTCACAAGAGTATGCACCTTGGTCTTCTGATTGAATATCTTCACAAATCAACTCACCAACACCATTAACGCTTGTGGTTCTACATTTTGGAGGAATATGGCCCCGATTTAATCTCCATACTATTTCAGGTGTTGGAATGCCCACTGCTGTACAAGTTATTATAAGAGTATCGTGCTGTTGAAGATTTACCATTGGTGGTGGTGCCTTTGAAATTACTGGTTTGGCTGCAAAAATTGTAAATAAATAAATATAAATGTACTTTTAAAAGCATTACAGCTTACAGCATCCAACCTCATCGCTACCATCAATACAATCTCTCTCAACATCACAGTGATAACTCTTTGGGATGCATTGATAATTTGAATGACAAGAAAATTGGTGGTATTGGCAAACAGCACCAGGAGGATTTGTTCCACAATCAATTTCATCAGAACCATCACCACAATCATTGTCTGAATCACATCTCCAAGTCTTCAATATACATTTTTTGTTATTACATTGATATTCATTGGGTTCACATCCATTGGCATCTAAAAATTAAATTAATGAAGCACATTCTAAAATAAGACAGTTAATATTAAAGTAACTCACTGCATCTATTTTCATCCGATCCATCTGCACAATCAAAAATCCCATCGCACACTTTATTTTTGTCTATGCAGTCTCCATTTGAACATGTTGCCTGATGGAGTTGGCACGCTGTTGGAGGGCGAAGAGTAGGTGGTGGTTCCCCTAGAAGTATAAGACATATGTAAGGTAATATTTAAAACTGCAAATGCATCTACAAACAATTATAAATAGGAAACTAGATAAAAAAGAAATACTGATGATAATAATACGTATATAACTAAATGTACGTAAGGTACTACATTTTTTTACCAAATACCGAGTAAAAATATATTTTTGTTTTACATAAATACAGGGAGTGGCACTTCCACTGGCATTTCCTTAGAAACCAAAAGACATTTAAACGATTACTAACCACAAGCGAAGTACAGTATAGGATTACAGTTGACATACAAAAATTTATATTACTTATACATAAGTAGAATTATTGCGCAAAAAATTTTTTAACTCCAAAAACAAAAAAAAAAAA